ATTTTAGTTCTTTAGAAATCATTGCGCCTGATAAGAATATATTGCAACATAATCTCGATTACTTTTCGAGCTAGGTATCAGACACGGCTTGCAGCATTTTTTCGAACTTGGACTTACTGCTTTTGGGAAATCTTTATGCAAGTGAAAATTACAGTTTTTGCTTCGAACGCCATCTGGAGCAATCGCAATGAACTTCGCACACATAGTGCATTTATTTGATGGATTGGGCATGTCGTTGGAATAAGTGATTTCGTAATCAAATTCAAATGTGAATTACCAGATGGCGCTATTATACACTTTTTGTTAGACTTTAACTTTGCTTAAGAAAGTTGCCCAAACGCTTGCACTATCTTTAGTGATTTTTTGCGGATTTCACTCGAACGCCAAGATAATTTAAGTCCAAACTGTTTGTCTTGCTATAAACCTTCTTCCTCTCCGATACCAACAATACGGGTTGTACCTACACATCAACCAAAGGCACTTGTTGTCAAACACGTAACAGCTGATTTCAATATAGTCTCTTATCTTACACATAAATACGAGTTACGTGTTACTAACACTCACTACAAAAATATAAGCTGTATAAAGCTATATTATGCACTTTGCTTATAGAATAACTAGCTGTGCCAGCGACTTCGTGCCCGTGGAATAGTGACTTGGGACAGAATTTTTAATTATTCAGGCTGTGTATTTATTTATGTAAGGGCGCATTTAAGGCAGCCAATCTACGTTGTAAGTGCAACTCTGCCGCAACACTCTCACCTCACATCACTCCTACTCTTATTCCTACACTCACTCTCACTCCCACTCCCAGTCCCATTCCTATTCTCATAAAGCCAAAGGAGAACGTTTCCTTGTTTTAGCTTCAAAAACCACGAATTTACAAATTTTTATCCCCTTTTTCAACCCTTTTTTTGGTATTAAAAAGTAGTATATGACTTTTCTCAGGCTCTAGAATATCTGTGTACCAAATTTCATTTAAGTCAGTTCAACTTCAGGTATCTAAATATTAGAAAAAAACTTAATTGAGGAGTCTTACAGCCCTTTCTCCGCACCTGTAGCTTATAAAAAAAGAGGTAGGGAAAAAGTCTAGACTATGTTTAGACTTCCGTGATCTAAATAAAATCGTTGTTCCTCAATCACAACCTTTCCCATTAATAGAGGACCTAATTATAAAAACAAGGAATTGCAAATTTTTCACAACGCTAGATATAAATTCAGCTTTTTGGTCAATATCATTAAAAACTGAAGATAGACATAAAACAGCATTTGTCTTGAACCCTTAGGCTTGAAAACCTCACCAACAATTATTCAAAGAATACTCAGTGGCATTATTAGGAAACACAAATTAGTTGACTTTGCAGTAAATTATATAGATGACGTATTGATATTTTCAAAAACATTTGAGGAACATTTAAAACATTTGATTCTGCTATTGACGGAAACCCCAAAGGCAGGGTTAAGACTTAAATTCACAGAATGCAATTTTGCACAAGACTGTAAAATACTTAGGTCTTATAATTAAGAATGATACTATAACTCCATTGAAAGATAATTTAATAGCAATAAAAAAATTCTAGACCCTCAGATTAAAAAAAAATATCAGACAATTTCTAGGGAAGATAAATTTCTATGGAAAATATGTGCCCAATATATCAATTATATTAGACCCATTACATAATTTGCTAAGGATTTTAATTAAGTATAATTTTGTACATTGATTCCGAAAATGGTCTATGTCCACCCTTAGAGGTCTATGACACCTGCAAAGGTTCTACGTCAGCGAAAATCTAATTTGGGGTTCCATGAAACGAAAATGAGGGCCCACGATAGTGGATCTCAACACATACACTGATAGTATCTATATACTTACATCATACTATCTTATAACATAAAAACATATACATATATCTCGAATTAGGGTCAGGAGCTAGGCCTCCGTCGTCGTCCGACATAGTGTTTGAGGGCGTTAATAGGGTATCGAGCAATGAGACTAAACACTAAACGTTCACAGTTTTATTCGAACACTAAATAAATCACTATGCTGGGTTATAGTGTGGACGATTCCCGGGTATTAGGTCGCAGACGTCCGTCTAAATGTGCAATAACGAAAGCCCTCGACCGACGCCCGGGCTCCGTCCTAGCGTACGGCGTGAAGTTGGCTGCCATGACGTTAGCTTCAAACCGGTCAACCCCACTCGCACGCTGCGCTACAACTCAGCTCCCGTATTCATGACCGCGCGTTGTCTCCGACATATATGTCTTTCTTTTAATATTAACTTGTAAGAACGTTTTTAAAGACAAAAAGGTTTGCAAAAACGAATTTGAATGCCCAAAATAAATATTCTCAGCGAACTAAGTCGTTGGCACAGGTAGTACCTATATTATATTATAATGGATGATTTTTTTCCCTGTGTCATCTATGGCATCAACTCTATAAAAGGTTTCACCAGTTCTCTCTGGTTTAAAATCGGCCATATTTGTTGTTGTCTTTTGCCAAGTACGATAAACCTGACTCCAGACCATTAAATATTATCAAAAAAAACATAACTGACTCCTATATAATTTATACCGTAATTAAAATCCACGATTCTTTATCCCTGTGGCAACTACTACACTGTATAATCTATATTATCATTAAGTCTCTATGGTTTAAAATCGGCCATATTTGTTGTTTATTTTTAGCTAAGTAATGCTCTTTAAATTATTAAACAAAGGATTTGAATTTTGTTTCAGAATAATGGATAGTTTCATATATAACAATTGAAAGCGAATGTATGTAACAAAGGTACAATCAATATAATTCGCTTCATTCTTGTCTTAGCTCGTTTTATATGTAATTAAAATTAAATAGCTGAAGGGCTACAATGTCCAAAATATATTGGAAATGCGTTGAAGAAGGTCAACTACTAGCGGAAGAAAAGTGGATAATACAGGCACTGAACTTAATTAAAAAGGAAAGAAATTGCCTTCAGGTATGTTGAGCTTTTTAAGTAAATAATAAGATGTACTTTCTAAACTATCAATTATACCGTGAGGTATTTAAATATCTTTATACATGTTTCAGATAGAAAAATTACAATTAGAAAGTTTAAAAATGCAACAATCTCAACGACAAGAAAAGCTTAAAATAAAAACAGATATTATACCATCTACATCTATAATAGAATTAATGAAAAGTAATAAAAAATCAAACAGCGGTGATCTTATTATGTATGAGGAAATGGATGCCATAACTTCTGCATGTAATGATGAGGAATTACATTTGGCTGCTACAACACCTGTTTTCGGTACGTTCATGTCTCCAGATTTTATAATTTATAATGTTTTGAAAATATTGATACAGGTGAACTCGAATGTCACTTAGTAGCTTTAAGGTGTGTTCCAATTGTGTAACTGGATTGCTAACGGTGTTCATCAAAATTCTCATAATACAGGTAAAGCAGTAAGAATACAATGTTTCTTGTAGGTTGTGTTAAATATTTCCAATTTTGTGTTAATATTATTTTCCAATGTTGTGGTAAATATTTCCAATTTTAAATAATCTCTAAATGTAGCTATATCATGTGTAAATTGATAATACTATTGTTTCATGTTCAGGCGACATGTCAGAGGCAGAAAATATTGAAACAGAAGAAGAAGAGGAGGAAATGGATGTTATGATTGATATTAACATGCTGATGGACAGTGAATGTGACAAAAGTGAGGACACATACATACTGGGATAATTTCTCATATATTTGTATCCATTACTTACTTGTAAGCTTTCTTAATTTAAGAAGTAAATGTAGTTTTTCTTTTCTTCTTGATTAATATAGCTACACAAAATACTATGTAAAAACTGGCAAATCATATGTAGCTATAAATATAATTTGCAAAGCTTTTGAAAATCAGACCGTAATCAAAATAATTTAAAAAAAAATACTAAGTAATATATATAACATTACAAACCGTTAGTGTTTTATTTAAAAGCTATATAAATGTTAACTTAAAAATCTAGTTTGGTCATTGTTATTTTACAAAAAAAAAAGTGTACACAAAAGTAAACTATAAAATTTACAATACTTTACTGATCTGGAACTACTGAATTTGAATTGAAACATTATTTTTGTATAAGATAGACCCTTATACGAATTCAAGATATTAACTGATATAACTGAATGTTGTTCCCACTGTTATACCTTATACAATTTGCGGCCCTTCGAGGTTCCAAAGCGATCGTAGCGAAGCCTAGACTGGCTAGATAAAGTCTACAAATATTTATTCGCGTAGGTAAGGTAAAAACTATGTTTACATTTACTACCAGTTCTTAAATCAAGTCATAGAACGACCGAGAAGAACTGGCAAGAAACTCGCCCACTCTCCGTTTGTCGCAAGTGCCATTGTACAGTCTTCACGAATTTATTATCGTTTTTTAAATCAATCTTCACGTGTGTACTTTTAAATGCAATACATATTTTTCTTCTTAGAGCGGGTTCCTCCACAACCCAAATATAGTTATCGTTAAACATACGATTAAAAATTATTTATTGAGAGTGCTTGCACTTCACTGGCGATTTTCTTCAAGTATCATTTAGTAGTCATCAAATCATCAAACAATTCTGCGAGCTGCCCTTTCACTTCTTGCTCCTACGTATCTTAATCAACATTTACCTGGAAGCCCAGTTTTTGTAAGACTATATTTATTTTAGTTAATGTTCTAAAGACGTAAGCTGAAAATTCTCATAATATAAGAGCGGTAGGTCGAGTTACGTCAAATAAAATAAAGTAGTGTTTTCACTAACTCCATTTAAATTGCCATTATTCATATTTTTCTTTTATGTTTAATCGCAGGCTGAAGGAAGAGATGGTACTGAGAAGATAAGTGTGGAAAGGATGGAGAGAGAAAAATAAAAAAGTGTAATCAATGTTTGGTTAATTAATGTTTTATTCGGGCGGTCACAACAATGTCCGTATAAATAATTATAATTTTACAAGCACGTGGATATTTTAAGCAGCACAATAGTTAAATCACAATATTTTTATCGGTTTAAAAAGATCTTTGAGCTATTTCTTACTTCAGAATTTAAGGCGCCTGATGAAAACAGATTGCAAAAATACATGCAATCGCATTTGCCCTGTGTATTTATTGTTAAGAGTTTATAAGAAACTAAGACCACGCAAATAAGTTAGCTGTGGTCGCGACTTCGTCTACGTAGAGAGTTATTTTGGGTATTGCAAACCTCCTCTTCGTCTTGGTAAAATTTCGTTTAAAGAAACAAACCAGCTGTTTGTTTGTTTAAACGCGCTATTTTCAAAAACTACTGGTTCGAATTAAAAAATATTTTTGTACTGGTTTAGAGCATTTACCGAGGAAGACTAAAAACATAGCGATGCGACATATAGGAGCGACGAAACATCGGGAAATGTGAAAAGAGCGGGGAAACTTATTCGTCCTTGTGGTTTTCCGTTGCGTACGCTACGTAAACGGTTCAAAATACCAAAAAATATGTATGAGACAATGATTTCCTTTGAAATGATTTTAAATAAATCTTTTATGACTAACGTAACGGCTATAATTTATTAAGCTGTAAAGGGGTTTGCAAAAACAACTTTTCTTTGCCAAAATAACACAATAAGCGATCTATGCGAACGTAGTCGCCACCACAGCTAGTCTTATAGCATAGAGTAGGATAATGTATATGTGTCATACGAAAGGCTCGGACTACTGGGTGTACTTTACTCTGAAATAGTGTGTCTGTATGTGTACCTTTAATATATTTTTATGTAATAAAAGGTCTGTGCTTTATAACTTCATATAAGTATCCTGGGTCTATGGTAAGAAAAAGCTAGTCTGTAGAATCCACTGCATCTGTGGTTGAATTTTTTATCTACCATAATATAGGAGTACTAGGCAAAGGTGAAATGAGAGGTTTATTTACTAAGAACTTGTAAGTTTAAACGAATAGTGCACATTTTTATGAGAGAAAAGAAGTATACCTACTTGTACATGTCTCCCAGATATTTTTATTTATTGTTGGATGTACAGGACCTGTAAGCTCAATTGTTATTTTAAGACTTATTTAGGCTTAGTAATTTTTTATAACCTTTATTTGCAGTGTAAGTCTTAAAGTCATAATTACTATCTACAAAAGTACAAAACCTCATTGAATCATTAAATATGGTTAAGTATCTAGCTCAAAACAAACATAGATGGCAACATTTGAAGGACGCCATCGATGAAGGGCGAGCTTTTAAAAAAATATAATCTGCTTGAATTGTACCTAGTAGTGTTCAATGTTGTATAGTAGTTTACCACGCTCATTTTATATAATATCAATCTAAAACCAAATATTTATTATTATTTGCCTAATCTAGAAGTTACACAACAGTACCAATAATCAGACTTGCTTGTAATAGGATCTTAATTTTTAATTTGTAAAAAAGTCAACATTATCTAATATTTTGTAAATGTTCTTTTAGGGACAAATCGAAGTGCCCTGCTCTAACGGCTCAGAGTCTCTTTGAGCAAGTTAGTAGAGAGTTGTTTGGTACAGTGGGGGCTCCTCGCGTGGATATATTACACTCTAAGAACTCTCAAGTAATTGTTCGTGTAGAGCCTTTACTTTTGAGAAAGTTTCGAGCGGCTTTGGCTCTCTCAACGCAAAGAATACATGTTTGTCGGGAAGCACCATCTCTGCAAGCGCTTCTGTAACTTGGAAAACAGTGTTTATCTTCACGACATCGTCTTGTGGGAAAGATGTCAGGGGCCGTATTGAGCAGCGGCGAAGACGGGCGCCATAAGATACTGGTGGCCAGTAAGGAAGAATTGAGTTCTCCGTCAAGTGTTTCGCTGCCACCTCCAGAAGCCGCGCCCGGCTTACTTATGCCCGATGGATCCATTAACTGGGGCTGCCCTTGCCTCGGCGGAATGGCGACAGGACCTTGTGGTTCTCAATTTCGAGACGCATTCTCATGCTTTCACTACAGGTAAAGGTTTGTGTATTAAATTGTGTAAACATAATATGATCCTTATTTCCAGATTACCTGTGGACTTGTTACAAGAAATCCTCCTGATGTGTTTGCATGAAAAAGTATGGTCGCTAAGAGCATTTAATACTGGGATAACTGGGAAATGATTGCTTTGAATGTAGTCTTTGTTTAGGATTTTTGTTAGACTAGTAAGTCAGGATTCTGAAAAAGTAAAAGTAAAACTTTGCTGCATAATTTTTAATAGTTTATTAACCATCGTTACGTGATTTCAGTGAAGCAGAGCCAAAAGGCAGTGACTGTTATGAAAAGTTCAGTATCATGCAAGAATGTATGGCACAGTACCCTGAACTATACGGGAAAGACGATGAAGAAGATGAGCTTTCAGCTGCCATCAACGAATCTGGCGCAGCGTCCGTCAGCGAAGACTTCAAGGGCGAGGCATCTAAAGAAAGTTAATCCTTCTAATAATACTTATTAGACTTAGTTATGTTTTGCTCTATTATTGGACAAAGGCCAAATTATTATAATTTCATTTAGATGGAAAGTTATGCTCTGTTGTGAAGTATAAAGTTTATTATTTATAATCCTTGTACCATCCTTGTAAGTTTATTATTTAACTGTTAACATCATTAGTACTGGGTGCACAATCCATTGATCTCAAATTTAAAAAGAAATCGAGTCTTGCCTATGTCTGAGTAAATAAATATTTTATTTATGTTTTACAGAAATACAGTTAAAAAAATACTCTAAAATTACTCTTACTAGTACAAATCAACAGCCCAGAATGAACACAAAGAATCTCAATTGCAAAGTTTCATTAGTAGTACTTAAATTGTATGATATCTTTTTTCTTGTTTGTGTGGATTCCATGAGCTTGTTTACTTTTTAAGTCTTAGTGGCGTGTTGATTTGACTGGACACCTACTATCATTATGTGAAATGCGAGATTGGCACTTGTTCTTCCTTACTTTTAAGTCCTTAGTCATGCAAATATTGAATCTTTATTTATGTCTTCTCAGTGAATAAGAAAATTTTGTTTATACTATCTTAGTGCTAAAACTGTTCTATCCTCGGCATTAATGTAACTCATTTTATTATTTCAATCACTGTTAAAATGTAAATGTTTCGTACAAATGTATGTATGTAGAATATAAATCATATTATCGACATACACCAATGGCCTATATAAGGCCGTGTCGTCACTAGCCGTATTGCAGCAGTATATCGCAAAATTAACGTTTAGGCGTGCAACTTAAATGTTGCATTTTTAATTTGATATATTATACACACCAAATGTGTATCAGAATTAAAAAATATTACTTTTCTGGGGGTCCTTAACTTCTACCGAATAACATAAAGTACTTTTTACAAATCAGACAAATGGCCCATAACTGATACACGAAGTAGCATTTGCAGTACAGATTATATTATGATCGGAATAAAATAAAAATGGTTCCGGGGGTAGTTAAAGTTTTCTCGCAAAAATACAACTATATTTTTGCGATATGCGTCAGCGCGAGCTGTCAGACGCTTTGTGAATCGGTTAGTTTTTATTTTCATAAGCGGCTGCCAATTGTGTATAATTAAGAAACAAAGCCCGCGAGTCGGAGAATAGTTATCGTTTAATGTTTTCTAAAATCAGTGTTAATTGTGATGATGTAATACAGAAGACTGCCGCTGGAACAGAGGTATGTACTTAGAGAATAGAACATGCCACGTTTTATTAAAAGTCCGTATCAACGTTTGTGACCATATTCGACTTTGGGATACATTGCATTTTTGCCACTAGTACTAGTCTGAGTGGTCAAGTAATTATTAGCTATAATAAACATAAAACGAAAGCTAACTTCGATACATATTATGATTGTTGACTTCAATGGTAAAAGATCTCATTGGAAAGGCAAATTCGAGTTTCCTTAGTATTCACCTAACTGCATGCCAAATTTGAGCTCTCTAAGTCGCCTAGAAGTGGGTTATAGTTTTGATCTATAGGTCAGGCATTTTGGCCGTTCATAACAAAATATGAAGAAGTTATGTTTATGAACCTTAGAACTGATATGTATCTTAATAGTCTTTAATATATGAGCCAAATTGAATTGATTTTGTGAAATAATTTTGGAGTTATGAGCATGTGTTAGTATACACAATATGATGCTTGTTCTCTAATTGAACTCTGTTGACAAGTCACAGGGGAGTTGAGAATATTTCACTTACTTAGAAATTCTGTGCACTACTTACTCCTATGTGGTCTAGAGCATTCTAGTCAGCTGTTTTGTACCACTTACAAATGTCTATCAACACAACACACTGTATTCCATTTTGATGTATTATGATACTGAGTACTTTTTCAACTTCTATTTAAATTTTATTTCAAACTGGGGGTATTGTGTACATATCGACTAGTGAGCATGCATTTTGTTTTACACTTCTGAATTTTTTAAATAATTATTTGTTCTGGTGAGGAAAATTTTACTACTCTGCAATCACCAGAATATATCCAGTGTACTTTATAGTTGTTAAGTGACACTTTCCTAAACTACTGTTTATAACTTCAATCATGAAAGAATTGTGAAAATCAGCATTGACCATATCGGATAGTTTGCAGCGAATTCAACTCACTCTGCACTTTGGTAATTTATTTACCTAGAACAATTATAGGCACTGCTGAAGGTGTTATTTAATATGCAGGACCTCCGAGAGACTGCAGAAAGATCCTCTTACTTTTTGCATTAAGCATCTTAATTAAAATGTGCTACAGAAATGTTATTTAGCCCGATCTTTTCTGATAAAGCTTAAAGATAGTCCCTGGGCAGCTAAAACTAGCCACAAAAGCTCAGACCTAACAGAGTCTGATTTTTAAAGAAAGAATCGCTACTTCATATTCATGGTCCCCGGGAAAACTTCACTTTAAGCAAATGTTGGTTTAGGGATGAACAAATTCATATTAGCCATAGCCGTAAATATTCTTTAAATTCAGTGTTACTCGTAAAGTATGGAACCGAATTATGTTATTAGTGTACAGTTTTCATATATGGATTTAATAATTCCAAGATTTGATACCGATCATCGAAGTTCGAACTATGAACGTAACGTCAAAATATGAAGTGTCAATGTCAAATTATAAAAATCACACAAAGGCAGCACTCAAAATTGATATTGCTGAAGGACTATATTGCTTTGGTTTTTTGGTAACATTGATCATTGGTAAACGATATACCACCACTAGCCAGAGTTATGCTACAGTGTTTTAATAATATCCTACCAAGTCCCAAGACACCGCTCGCATTCTTGCCGAATTGTTGTTATTATCTATGTTTCACCTAGCTGACGTGGTTAATAGACAGGAGAGCGACTGAATAAGTTTTAAAGACCTACTTTGTCTCATTCTTCTTCTATTTTAAGCGAAGATACCTATTTGTGTTTAATCATTTATTGAATCTAAAATAAAAACATACCTTGAGTCTGTTTTATCAATAAAGTAGCTCAGGATAAATGAAGGTTTTTGAGTTTATCTATTATAAACCAATGCACAGAAATATTTGTTTATACTATATTGTAAACATTGATGAGACCAACGCGACGTGTTTACGCTGCAATATGTTTGAGTACGCGCCCGAGGCCTCACAGGCGTCGTAAGATCCAGGAGCGTAAGGCCGAGACGCGAGTGAACCCGGCGGGAAGACCCAGTTCACAGCCGCGCGTCGAGACGAAAGACGTAACTCCGATCTGGAAGTACATATTATTATTACATACGGTAGAAGAGTATAATAATTAATTCCAATACAACGTTAACATATCAAATCCTATTTACTAGGGTGGCGTTGCCGGGCGTTCCTAGCGCCAGAGGTCCGCCGGAGTCGCCGGAGCAGGTGGAGCCGCGTCCGCCGCCCGTGCACAGCGTACTCGAGACCACGTAACGAGGCTTGAAAACCCGAGAGCACTCTGCGTTACTTATCACGCGAAGCGACACCTGGCGCACCGAACTGGAGCCGGAGATCACACTTTGTGCTAGAAATACTATTTCATATTAAGGACCGAACGCGCGAACTACGCGCATGTGAATGAGCGGCTCACCGTCACTCGTTTTTCCGAAGCCGGTGGCGAGCGCCCATTCACCGACATGGTCGTCGCCGCCCGAGGCCAGAGCGATCGGTCGAATGTTGTCTAAAATGGGAGAACAGTCAATATATTAAGTTATGAAACTGGCGTCTCGTAAGCAGTGAAGAGGCTTAACTAGGAGTCACCGTCGAACGCGACGGCCGGAAAGGCGACCATGGCGATGTCGTAATTTAGCGACAAGGGGTCGTAGAGCGAGTGCTGCTCCACTTGATCCGGCGTTACGTGCAGCCGCAGCCCGCCCGTGTAAAGGCGCTCCGAGCCGAGCACGACTGTGAAGCGGGCGGCGCCCCGGGCGCAGTGCGCGGCGGTGAGTGCGCGCCGTGGCGACACCACTGTGCAGCCGCACACGGACGTGGCGCCCGACTCGAGCCCGATCAGCAAGCCGCCCTGCCGATGGATACTTGTAGTCATAGTAATACCAAGGGTTCTATAACAGGTTAAACTAAAAACTTACAAAGTAGGGAAACGTTCCCGGAAGAGCGGGGGAGGCGCCAATGAGCTTGGAGGTGGCGGCGGTCTGTTCCCAACGCCAGATTCTGTCGGCCTCGGGGATCCCGAACGCCTCGTGGTAATCCAAAGCGGGTCTATCGAGGCCCGTCCCTTCCAACAGCCCCAGAATTGCCATTACGATCTGCATCGTACGTCGATACGTGTTAGCGTGCACCCGTTATCTCACTATTCGTCCGACTTTGTCTATCGTCATACTCCCCATAAATCTATCGACTTATATCGTGTCAGGGTCTCTTCAGCCTTTGACGCGCGGCTTCGTCTTCGCTCACGATAATTTTGTTACTAACACTTCTCTAGTGATCTGAATAAATGAATTAGGTACGCTATTATACTTACTTTTAATGACAGGTACCTACAGGCTACAGAGTTTTTTTTAGAATTTAATATTATTCTGCGAGCCTTTACTAATTATTAACTAATATATATGTATATGCTAATCTAATTCGAACGTGTTCAATGTTATCGTACCCCTTTTAAATGTAAGGAGTCTCCGATTCAAATAATTTACCTTCTAGGGTAATATTTGTCTTTCATTTACGTTATCTCGGTCGTCGTCGACGTTCCGATTACATGATGAATTACCCGTGTAACCCACGAATGACATTCGCATTACCGACGAAGTCCTCGCGACCGACTAGCGAGCGGCGGTCGGACAGACGATGAAGTGTACATATACGCGCGCGCGTTTGACGATTTTTACTCGCCCTATCGGGGTTACACGCTGGTTGAGTCGAAACTGTCAAAATCGATATCCGCATGCACCGTAACGAATAGAGTCGAGAGACATCGACGGGCGTGCCTGTGCGCAGTGAGTAGGCACCGTGGCACTCGTCGGAGTCGAAATGCTGATGCTGCTCCCGTAATGCTGAGTGCGATTAGGCTAATCCTTCCGACACCATGGGACTCGCCCTGCCGACTGGCACCTGCAGTCGCTAATTATAGTGTTCTAGTGATCTCAGTCTGCGTAAACGCGCGTAATTTATTTTTTAGTTAATTATATTAACTAAAAAATAAATTACTACTACTAATAGTTTAGTTTAGTTCACTAAAAGTTTGTAGTTGTTGTCACGTTCTCTCCTCGCTTTTCCCCATTTCACAAGCACTCGTCCAAGTTTCCATTTTTTGTTTGTTTTTCTTCTTTCTCTTTTTTTATAAATGTTAGTTATTTAAGCTTATATTTAAGTTATTTATTCTGTCTTGTGAAATAAATGGTTCGAGTTTGAATTTCGTAGGAACTACAACCAACCTATATGCCTATATTTTTTTCGCTTCTTACTTACAAGAGACAAAAGCACTATTTCCTCAATGTCCATTTTAAGTGGGCTCTGTATGCAACCGATGGTCGTAGCGTCGAGTGCAGTTTTGCTCATAAACACTACTTTTGCGAAATTGCGCTGCCCCGTCTATATTATAGGGATATGTAGGTAACAAAATATATTGTTTAACCATTTTCCGTACTTGGAGTTGGTTATATGATTCAAAAAATCATTAGTGTCGAATTATCCGACCGTGATTGTGAACACGTGTGTTGCATTTAACAGAATTTGTATAAATTCAGCAGTTTCTAAAGGTAATAAACGTAAGGTTTATCATTTTGTAATTCAGTTTTGATCTAGAGGTCTATTAGACGATTCTGACTTTCATATTAGTTACAATAAGATTATTAAACGGTTAACCGGTTAATATTGTGTGTGTGTGAAGCTCGGAATTCGTATGTATCGCGCAGGTCTCAATATATGGTACGGACTCGAATGATTATGCGAAATAGTGTTTGAGTTACGAGAGGTGAAAAATGGCTTCATCCTTCAAATATTTGCTAAATAGAACGGAATTTTGGAATCAGGGGATAAATCGCTACGGTCGAATATAAAGTATATTAGCGACCAAATTTTACGGTTGTCTCCAATATTGATGTCGCTCAATATCGTAAGCGTATCTTCGTCGGATCTTTGGATTTACCTGTTCGACTTTCGTTGATCGATCGTTCATTTTGATAGCGATGGCCCGACGTGTGGGTTGTGACGTAAAGGTTGAACGGTCCCATGTCGCCGATTCAGTCTAGTCTCTAATGACCCTATATTGTGTGCGTAGGCCGACCTGGCTAGGCGTATGGAGCCCCGAACCGATGGCCGAGTTCATCCGTCGGCGCCGACACTCGACACAAAGCCGGGGCGTTAATGTTTCTACCCGCACAGAACACATCTCACATCGCAGAGAACTAAGCGCCGTGTTCGGACCGAATAAGGCGGGTAATCGTGTGCCGCGAGATTTCTGCGACCCCACAAACTCTACTGTAAGTTTCAGATTTCCCAGCGAACTTTCAATGCGTACTTCTTTATCAAACTCATAGCGTCTCTCCGTCTAAACCGATTTTTTTGTAATGTAACTTTTATTCAGGTACATTAGAAAAAACCAACATAGGAAAAGGGTGTGGACCATTTATACGGTGACGATTTTAGATATACTTATTATTATATATTATGTCTAACCGTTCGCCGTGTGCGTTCGTCAGGTCACCCGCTCCCGGGGCGGCGACAAGAAGCGGTTCAACTCTCGCGCTGAGCGGCGAACATCGTACAAACGTGTATTTCACGAAAGCCACAGATGGAGATAACGCACATTGTCGTCTTATCGTGGCGACGGGTCTTTATGGCTGTCAGTCACGCGAACGTTATTGCCGCGATACAAATTGTGAAATGTCCCTCTTACTTCGTAACCGAGGAGAACCTACACCCAGGTGGTTTCGACTGTGTTCATAGTTTTCGGTCGACAATGTTTATTGTCAATAGAAGTGACTTACTTAATTAGAAGTAACTACGTTTAAAGCATATTATCAATGAGATATGGAGCGATTTAGTCGAGTGAAAAGAGGTCGACCGGGAACAATATCCGGAGGGAAAGGGGGAGAGATGAGTAGCTCGTATCGTTCGAGCTCCCCTCTTGACCGCAGACGAAATATGCGGTAGAAATCCTCGATATAATAATCTTGACGACATAGATCGCAAACCAACGCATCAGAGGAGGCCGGGCGCGTGGCGCCCTCGATGCAGCTGGCGTCGGCAGTTATTCCGCAGATTTGCAGCGATAAGGTTTCGTCGATCGATTCCTTCTATTCTCGTCCCACTCTGCCGCCTGAGCCTTCGAGCTAGTCCCATCGCTTTCTCGTAATTTTGTTTACTTTATTTATATAATACAAATCACCCCGAACACTCGGCCGGCTTTCACGGGTTCGATACAATGGCGTGCATCCGACCGAGAGGAGGTACTCGTTCCTAATGCACGAAACATCTGCGGGACGCCGTCCGAGTCTGCGCTCGATACTCGCCCTTGTCGCGGGCGGACAGAGTCCAACCTCGTTTGCGGCTGTCGGTAATATCACGCACGCAGATCTTAAATTTGATACAGAGTACGTAACTTAAGATGAGAGATCGGAATTACTTTTCTAGTTACGATATAAATATCTCTCAAGCGTTAAGCGTGCTTCGTTGCCTACATCTCGAACTCGGTTCCGTGGAGACGAAGTTGGGCACGACATTTGAAAGGCTCGAGAAGCTTATGAAATATTTGCGTGTAGAACTACTGCAAACGTTTTCATATGTCACGATAATTTTCTCTTGCGATGCTAAAATAATTTAAAACAGCCTTTATTCACTACTATTTGACAACACACTAAATTTAATTCTAATAGGCGTAAGGCGTATCCCAACATGAGTGCAGTGCGAGGACTGTTATCTTCTCCTCCGCAGGTGCACCTACTTCTAAGATAAATATTTATGTTGAATAAACGGTCTCTCACCAAATTAGTTCATTCATTATGAAAAGACTTCCTGTACATGCCTAAGAGTTTAGACATGCCACAATCTACATACACTAAGATAGCGTTCGGCTATTGATCTATCGTCGACAGCAAAACAAGAAACAAGAACCTTCTCAAGCTTCGATCCAGCTCAGATTCTCTACAAATATAATGTTGTTCACATGAACTTACATGACTTACGACTAATAATTCAACGCCTTATAAATTTATTCATATTCATAAATAAAATGCTAAAAAAATTAACCTATTACTATTTTTTTATGCACGATTTAATGCCATAATTACTTCAGTTTGATTTTTGTAATATAGTGCGTCCCAATAAAACGAGGCCCTGAGACCTCTGGTTCTGTCAAAATCTCATAGTTGCAGTGGCATTCCATTGTTACAATTACCATCACATTACGGTAAGGAAACTCTTTCTGCAGAGTGCCAACCGGTTCCTCGGGATATTATTTAATCGACTAGCCCGTATGACTCCCACTCGGCACACATCGTTCGCATGCTTTGTTTGAAAAGCAAAACATTTTTGTTCGAACGAACGCCGTCAATTTACAAATAGAGAGCCGGATAGCTTTCGGTGTTTTCAAAGATAACGTCGAGCCGTCGTCGTTACGAGACTTATCTATACGTGTCGAGGAACCTGCTAGCGCAGAGTACACAAACGGACAGATTTCATCCGTTATTCTGATAACGGAGCTGACAATGTGTCATCTCGCAATCTGATGTGTTCGATCCGCGGTCGTCTCAAATTCCTAGACCTAACGATCTCTCCGAGCGAACGTCGAAATCGAGTATATATTAGGTTCGAAGGAACGATCCAAATCCGTCTCACGAACGTTACCATTTACCATCGACAGGGAACCGTCCTTTACATTTTTTCTCCGGTCCTAAGCTAACAGAACCGAACGCCCGCAGTCGCGACGCCGAAGTCGAGCCGGAACCGACGCAATGGCGACCTTATACTGTAAACCGTAGAGTCGACATCGGAAGGTGCTCGGTTATCGGTGGGTGGTCGTCGAAAATGTTCTCTGCGAGAAAGATCGTCTCGCTGAAGATTCAGACGTTCAGCTCGAGCGACGGCCGATGAAACGTGAACTTGCGGTTCGAACCGGTCACGTCATCGTATATACCCGACTCAAAGAGCGAATAAGGTATCGGGTGGCAACTACTAGTACAGAGACTTAAAGCTGCGAGGCGTTCGCGCGGAAAGCTAAAGTAAGTCACCGTTTACCCGCAGCAGAAGCGACTAACGAGTGACACGGCGGGCCGCAATTAGGCCATTAATTTGCGAACGGCCTCTTTGTCGTTCGCTCCGCTTCGCAACCGTATCTACTGAGCGAGCTGCGTAATATCTCGCCTAACAAACGTCTCATTTATTTTTCGGAGCCGTCGGCGGGGTGCGTACGAATTGAAAGAGTCCGCATTGCCGGCTCCAAAAAAACGAAACGTATAATTCCTAAACTTCAGGGTTGTGTTCGTTCGTGTAGGTCGTTCTCTCCGTTTGGCTCTTCCGTTGATGCATCTTCTAAGGGCACAATTCAATCGTGAATAAATTATGAAATAGTTACAATTCAGATAATAGTGGAACCCGGCGTGAAACGCTCGTATTCGAGTCGCGGAATAGAGCGTTTCAAATCAGAGTTTTGCGATGTTGAAACGTGTTTTATCTCTCTCAGCCTGAACAATCGCGACTCTGTCGTCGGCACACGAAACGGAGTCTGCGTTGATACATCGCAGCCGCGATTGTGAGTGCGTTCCGTTCGCGCGGGGACTGTTTAGCTCATTCAGTTAGACGAAATCGCGTTAACAAAACAATAGAAACAAAAAAGAAAAGTCTCGCCGGGTCACGGTTTTGTCGTCATTAATTTATCATAACTAAACGAATATAAATACTAATATAAACGAAGCGAGACAACCGCTACAGACATTCGTCTCGTTTAAGGTTAACTACGGCGGAGGACGTACAGACGATATTTCACATTTGTATCACAAAAGCTGCTTAATATCTCCATAACATCAACTCCTTAGAATAAAGTTAAAGCACCGGAGTGTAGGTACAAGCGGATGCGAGACACTCCAGGATCTGAGTTGACAAACGATGTAACGCGTAAGAACCGCGGAGACGGTGCGGTCCAGCATCCCGACGAGGCGCGGCGAACGAGACGTGACCGATCACTCTAGGCACGCAGCTGTTGCTCCACGTTTTTCACACGGTCTTCGTATCATGAGCGACGGTCGATATGCGGCGAAGCGAATCGAGCCGGTCTCGACGTCTTAAACTCGTTTGCGCTGGAGATCGGAAAATCGATCGAGACATTTTGTCGGATTAAGTCATTTTGAGCGAGTTGCGAGGAGAGAGAACGCTCTTGTCGCCCGCGCGGCGGTATTCCTTCCTGCGAAACCGCTGTGTACCGAGGCTGGGAAAATGTCTATTCTGCCTCTTCTGATTACTGCTGTGCGCCGAACGGGCTATCGTTTCGGGTGAACCGTTTAGCTAAGTTCGGGCCCCTTCGCGGTCGGATAGAACGCGCACATTCGTAATTCAGGCTCGCACGTGAAACGCATCCGTCGCGGCCGTTCTCACGAAATCGGACTGCGCTTCCTGTTGACTCAGCCGCGTGTGCACCTCTCGTGTTCCGCTCCGCACGGCGACGACCGGGAGCGCCTACAGATATTACTAGACAAAGCGGAAAACCTCGCCGGCACACGAACATCCTAAGCGAAGTTCAAAGCGCGCCCGTCGCCTAGATCGAAGCACCTCCCTTCATCGATCAGACTCGTCGAGTGCGCCGGAGAAACGATGCGATCGCAGAGAAAAGAAAACGAATGTGTGCGTCTTCGCGCTTCGCTAAGCGTCGCGTCTTAATCGGAACCGACGCTTTTCTATGGCCACAATGGGCTTACGATATTGCTCTTGATTTCTTATTACTCGGCGGAAACTTCGAGAATTATAAATGGTATAAAACTCCGACGAATATGGCGCAGACGTTCTCGGGCTTCAATAATATAACATTCGGCAGCCCTACGCGTTAGATCCCGTCCTTTTCCTAGTGAGTTCGCCTACGAGGGCGCGATTACGAGAAACGAACGTTATCGTGCAAGAATGTGGTCCGAAGTGGGCTCCAAACAAAGAAGGAGTCGTCGCTACGGGTGACTTTCTGCTCTCTAGAAATCGCCCGAACGTCGAACTGCCTACAGCACGCTAATAGAAAGCCTCGTTTGCCAACTTTGGATCTGTGTCAACTCGGAAATGTTTTTTGATTCGGTGTATAGACCTTCGCCGACAGCACGAGGGGAGGCCATCTTTTTATAAATACCGTTTGATTCTTATAATTTGTTTTCGCATACACTCAGTTAGTAACCTCTTTCTTAGAATTCGTCGTCTTAGAACGGTCGAGTCTTAATTCATATATTTCACTAGTTAAGACACAGTCAATACACTTTATATTTATATAACCTTATACTGGTAGTGAGGAAACGTAATAGTTAAACTTATTTTTAAAAATATTTTTACTGCGGATTGACGTTTGAATGTTTTTGATTATGCTGATAGTTCATATTTCATTATTTCTGTAATGTGCGTTCCCACTCAATGAAATATTGATTTAATTCGATCGAGCCTCAAAGCGATCCTCACTCGAGGTCTTCATAATATTCCGCACTCGGAGAGGCCGCTGCCCATTTAGAACGCGTAGATGTTGAACCGTTCGGAGAATTCAATCCGGCCGAAGGCGTACGAGGCGAGTTCGTCCTTAGGGCGCAGTATTAAGGCCCATTTCGTTCGTCGGCGTCGACCGCCGTGGAATAGTCACGAGTGGCCGACACTTTTGGCCCTGCGTGTTCTGGAGTGCATAAACTGAAATCGGATTAGCCATTCTTCGTATTCACTGAACCGCGTCTGAAACAATAGTGTTCCTAAATTTCCGCGTCGGAAAGCTGCGAGTGAGGCCGCTCACTTCGAGCTAGTGCGTCGGTCCTAGGAACTGCAGAGAGTTAATAGTAATAATTTTCAAGTCATCAGTCACCTCGACGACGTCTGCGACTGGGATGGACAGCTCGACCTTTCTTCGCCGGACTTGCTTTGCGAAACGCAGAGGCGCTGTGCTAATGGGGCATCGATACGTTTAGACCGAGGACTCCGTTAGACGAGGAAACAAAAACTTCGCTTCCCGCCTCTGACCCGACCAAGTTAGCTCCCCGACACTTCTCACTGAGGCCGACCTAAAGAATTGTGGAGCGGGATTCCTCTCGTTTCGAGAACGCGACGCTTCCTGACGTGAAGCTTCTTATGCTATCTGTATACCTTATGTTCCAAATAAAATATTGCTTCATCTGGCTCGGTTAGCGAAGTACACGTTGAGCCATCTCGCAACGCTGCAATCGAGTCTGTGCGAAGAATTAATCTGGACCTCTCCTGGTCCAGATTAAATAACAGCGCCTATAATTTTAGAGTACAAGTTAATTGGTATTCGGTGGCCTTCATTGGGCGATCGATTTCGTCAATCGCCTCGTGAGCGTGGCGTTAAATAAGATAGGCTATGCTTACCGAAGAGCCCCGAGTTTGGATCTCGAGGCGAGCTCGCCTCGTGTCCGTCGTCTGCTCGCAATGAACGAGTGGCGACTCGTTCATTCGACGAATGCGACGATTCATTGTAATCCACATTCTTCTCAAAAAGACACGTAATGCCATCCGAGCTATGACTTAACGGTTAGTTATTTTCGCCTTACGTCGCGGGTGCACTCGGTTGACAGAAACGAAGTGCAGTCCTTCTCGGATCGCTCGTAAGCCGCACCCGTCGTTCCAACTGAACGTGTGAATGTCCATATTTTATTGTAACGCTTGCGACATACGTAAACATTATCGCTTTATTTTATTCCTTCCTTTCAATTAAACTATTCACACGTTTGAACGCTAACAATTTCGTCATTCTAGTGGCGCGGACGTCAAAGAATGTGAACTATACGCACCCATATAGATGATTATTTTTAAAGATACACATACATGTACGTAATAAATGTTTCTGCCCTCACTTTATTGCTTTATATTCAAGTTGCTCGTGTAAATGTTATAATATATATAATATAAATGTTATTGAATATTTTAAATTGAGGGTTACGTCACAGCTCACGAATTACGAAAGTCCATCGGAACAACTTTTTATTCAAATATTCCGTTCAAAGGTTAAACGAACGCCGAAGAACGAGGCGTTTAATTCCATAGATTAGGTAAACCTTCGGCGATGCCCTGTATGTGGGCACATTATTACTTATATATACATTATAACGAAGCCCGAAAGCGTTCTCTAGTCTTATCGGTCCGCGGGGAGTAGTGAATTTAAGATAAGGCGTTTCTAAATAAACGTCGGTACGAACGGCCTAAGAAAAAAATAATTTTCATGTCGACTTTTATCTCGTACTGTTATTTCACTATCTTGTGTCTAATTGTTAATTCTTCGTATCTTCTGATTGTTGAACTTAAACATTTTATTGCTTTGTAGCACACGTTAAATTCGTATTTGTACCTATTAAGTTCTATACATATATATGGATAGGTTGACCGACTGAGACGAATCGGTACTTACGGACTATGTACAAGTGGCAGGCGGTCGCTCATATTGTGTACCGACATATATAGAGCACGTCGTAGGAACAGAAGTGATCGATGTCTGCGCGAACACTCATGCTAACGCCGCATTACACATACCATGCCTCGAACGACTGCAAAAGGTTTGACACCTCCGAGACCCCACGGACACCCGTGTTGCCAAATTAAAAGAACATTATACGCACTCTCGGCTCGCTTCTTAATCATTCGGGCACTTTCGTGACCGCTATTTCGACGTTTGTCGTAGGCTATTAATACTTAATTGACTACTTTAAACAGTGGTTCGGTAATGAATTCTACGAGTTATGCGACCTGTTTTCTTCAATTCGGTTTCTCAACTGTCCAAGCTTTGACGTGAATGCAGTCACGAGGATGTGGGCAGCCCAAACTACGCTTTTGGGCGTTTCTAAGACTCCCGAAAGTGGTGTACGATGTTATTGAGGTTTCTGTTTAATTAAAGCTACTCAGTTTAACGTAGACAAGTATTGGCGTCAAGGAAGGAAAAGGTGATGCGGAATTGTCGCTAACTCCACTTACCGATTTTGTCCCTCCTACTTCCATTAAACTACACATGTTCCAAATTCGTCAGGACAGACTGAGTAAACATAATCAATTAATCGTGTATGCGTTCGATACCGACTACAACGAATAATACCAAATCATACCGCTCTGTACTATATATTATAAAGCAGAAGAGTTTGTTTGGTTTGAACGCGCTTATCACAGGAACATTTATCGAGAAAGGTTTTATAAAGGAGCAAAGAGCAACAGGAAATGTGGAAATACGGGAAAAATATTAATCTGTGTGGGTTTCCATTGCGTCCGCTGCGAAAATGGTTAAAATCATATGAAAAACATCTGCAAAATAATAATTTCTTTGTATAATGATCAAAAGAAATTTTTGAATAAACCAATTTAAGATTAACTTGCAAGAATAACGGACCCGGGCGACGTCGTGGGTCACACCTCCCTCTCAATTCATAATCGTACGGTTTATATACTCAGGAGCACATATAAATTAAATGACAGAGTTAAGTAATGTGTTAAGGAAATGTTGTAAGGTCATTCTATAATGTTTGCGCTCGACGAGGCTCGAAGCTCTGTAAGAATAAAAGAGAACGATTGACGCACAAATAAGGGTGAATGAATAGACGGGACAAAGTGTTATTAGCCTGCCTTTCGTCATAAGGTTCAGAGTTCGTGATGTCCACGAATCACTTCCTAGAATGTCTATTATGTATATAGCTAAATCATACCACGAGATTGGTTCAATATAAACGGCAAAATGTTCTAGGATTAAGTCCAACTTTCAAGAGCTGCAAATTGTAACTCTGGCTAAAGCTAGTGTCCTAATAAAATAAATACAATATGCTGTGCGAGGCCACAAAAGAGATGTCAATAATACAGTACGGCTCTATCTATGGCCGCCACTCAATAGCTACTCCGTCGTTCGTTTTGGACTCACTTGGGACGTTTGAGTCATCACTGAACTAGGGATTAGTCGCTTCTTTGTCGATCGCGCATCCTTCACTCGGGTGACATTGGAGAACTGTCTAAAATGACAGCGCAGAATTAGACCTCGGTGTTTCGACAGTTTTTAAAAGCTTACTTCTTGTACTCATCGAATATATGTTTTTTCACCCGACTGCGAGGACGGTTTATCGATTTGTAGCAGTCTACATATCATGTACGGTCACCGATAATGTGTACATAGGCTATAACATAAATAAACTCTACAAAAATTGTATATTAATTTATACCTGAACATATGAGTAAAATAAATAAAGAGAGATAACCAATTTTAAAAACTAATAAAACTCATTGCTGCCTTTTAATGGGAAATGTACTAATTTTGTCAAAAGTGCGCTAACAAAACCTAATACGGTCAATTCTATCAAGATCGGTCATACGTGTGAGTTTACGGTTCGTGAAGTGAGGACGTTGCGCGAACTGCGAGCTTATCAAGTCAGGCTCTAGAGTATTGCCGAATGCTTTAGCATTAATAATCGCTTTCGACACATTTCTTTTGCGTTTTGTGAACTCGCTTCAGAAACTAACTACTCCCGAAGCGATCCGTCCGGCTCGCAGAGGAAAAGAGAAAACTTGGCAAAAGAGCCGATTTACGCTCTATTTGCTCTTTGAACGGAGACCGATAGATGCCAATGTCGCGGCCGCAGCTCAGGGTGTGTTAGATACTATAAATTGAATTCTAAATATATAATATAATGCTACGCGTCGTTATAATATTATGGAAATTGTGGTGTGGACGCAGTATCCGTACGCTCGAACACAGCTGGGCGCCGCCGTGTGTGACGTCGCGACGAGGCGCGCCCCCCTCACGCACACGGGCGCACTCAGCACCAATCAGCTGATCGGCCGAGGTCGCTGCCGACTGGCAACAGCCGAACTTCGCTCACCGTCCGTGGACCTTGACGACGCACTAAGCGAACGCTTCTATTTTCTCATACATTACTTCCTCCGCAAGAAACGTTTAGTCAGCGAGGAAATCGAGATGCTGCCAGCACAGAGTATCGATGGAATAATTAATTTCCGACAACCCGTCGTTCACGCGTTCAGATGAGAGATGAGGATTCTGGCGACCCACGTCGCCCCCCGGTCGCTTCCCCGTATTTATTTACGAGACACGAGGCCGTACCTGACATCGAGGGAACGCTCCCTATCCGCGTCCTCTTCCTTCCCGGGAGCGGACGGCGCCCAGACAAGGACGGCAGGACTCGGGACGCCACAGCGAGACCCGCCCGTCAAGTTCGGCGCTTAAAATGGCCGACGCCGAGATTCGTGATCGCCCAGGGAGGGGGCGATATCGATAATGTTACGTTTTATGACAGGCGGACTCGAGCGTCCGTAAATTGGATATTCGTTTTTCGATACATCGGCATAATAATAATAATAATCTAGAGGCCTAAGAGCGTCCGCATCGGTCACGCGTACACCCGATGCCGACTTATGGACGTCGCTCACATCCATTAGAAGCAGCCCCGACGGCTGCACCGCCGCGATCATTAAGTATTTTAATAGCGCAATAACGAACCGAGTACCGAGAATTCCGTTCGATCGTGCCGTATTGGAACGTTTCCTTTTAATAACGCGATCACGAGTGGCGTGACGAGCCTTAATCGACGCGATACTTAGAAATATAAACACGATATGGAAACGATACCGATTTTACGGCCGATTCGTATGGAACGTCGCAATTCACGCGAGATCACCGCGGCGCACCAAACGGACCGAGCGATGTCGCCGCAGATAGAACGATAAACATTTTACGGCAGTCGGGAAGATAAAATGTAAGTCGTTCGACCGTCGCGGAACATCGCTTTAATACTCTGGGAAAGGACATCGAAGGAAGGAGGCGACGAAAGGAGAAGGGAGACTTCAATCTTCCATCGGTCTAGCTTCGCGCTTATCGCGAAGACGCTAATTTGGCCTCGCGTTCTCCACAACTTCGGCGATAATGATGCGATCACGACTCTCGCGGCGGTAACGCACCGCGAACGGAGAACCTCATTTCCTCGAAAGCGGTCTCATTCCTAAAGTCATTGTTGTTAATTCACGACGCATTGTGTGTAAGAGGCTTTCATATATAAAATGAAATGAATGAATCGTAGCTCTTTTGTTCGACGAATGTTTTTCAGACTCGAACAATAGACGCCGCTTACGTCCAATCCACCCGCGGTACCTACTTCGTATTTATTGTGCCCCTTATGAAACGCAAATCTTCAATTACAGTCTATTGTGCGCCATAATCCACCAGACGTTACCGACGTTTTGCTACTTTCCTAAGTTTCCATTTTACCGCAGTGCTGATTTAACGAGGCGGTTTAATTACACGACTAGTATTCCATTAGGACATCCACGTCCTATCTCTGCGGTTCTACTTACATGGGGACGGGCGAGCCGGGCCTGCGGAGCACCAGAACACGGAAACGGCTGAGACGTGGTACGACACTAATGGCTCACTCCGATAGAGTACGGACCAAATAAAACGATGCTTTAGGGATTTTTGTAAAAAGATAGTTATATTTTTGGCATTGGACTATGACACAATATAATACTATGATATGCTAAGTAAGCGCATTATAAAGACTTTCACATGCCGAATATTCGTTAATCAGACTATTCTCAGAGGACTCTTTATAATATAATAATTATAATTTTAACAAACATAACCGCTTACAAAATGAGAGAAGGCTGGGCGCTCCGGCCGCAGCCCTACGTCTATAGCTAGAATTACGCCTAATATTTCTCACTTTCATTTTACTCTATAGGTACACATCATTACTTTAGTATAATACAATTTTGAACATATTATATTATCGATATGACATTATTTATACAGAAACACGCAACGAGAAGCCTCGGTCGAATAAATAGGCCGAGCCGCGGAGCACCGTCGCGCACTATTTGGTATCGGGTTCGCACTTAACACTAGGTCATTACAACGAAACATCACAGAGAGCGGGCCCTACATGTAGATGGGCAGCTGGTGCAGCGCGCGCTTGTCGAAGCGCTCATAGTGCGCGGGCGGAGGCAGCGCGCGGATATCACAGTCGAGGGCCTCCGGCGGCAGGTAGGGGTGCGCCTTGAGGCGGCCGCGGGCCAGCTTGCCCGCCTCCGCCACGTACTCGAGCCGGTAGCGGCGCGCGTCTTCGGGTAGCCGGGGCTGGGGCTGCGGCGGCGGCGCCGGGGCGGCGGGCACGGCGCGGCAGCAGCGGCGCGCGGCCCGGCCTCCGCGGCGGGCGTCGGGCGCAGAGGGTGCGGCGCCCGTCGCGCTCGGCCCGCCGCCCTCCGTGCGCGGCAGGTTGTTGACGAAGGGAACGCGCCGGAGGCTCTCGAGCCTCCTGAAGTGCGACGGGTGGATCATGAGCAGCGGCTCGATCTTGACGCCCTGCGGCGGCTTGGCACAATCGGGAAGCTCGTATTCGATACTGCAGTCTACGTGTAAAGGCACCGAGTAATCCTTTGGAGCGAGCGAGGCGGGCCGGGCGTCCCGCCGGAATCGGTCTGCGGCGAAGTCGGCTTCGCCGCGGGCGTAGCCCGTCATCGTGGCGGGCGCGGCCTCACGGCATGTGCGCCGCGCGCCGATCAGCTGATCTTGCGACGGGAAGCGCGCGAACGTGCGCACGGATCGGCGACGAGCGCTGGACTGCGAGAGCGGGAGGCGCGCCTGCGCGGTGCCGGGCTCCCCTCGTCCCGCGCTCTGCAGATCTCGTCTCTGTCGCGGGCGCGTTGCGCTGCGGTCCGAAGCCCCCGGTGCTACTGGGAGACGCAGACGAGACGACGGCCGACGGCGGGGCGCGCGGGGGCAGGGCAGGGCCCGCTCGATAAAGATGGCGGCCGCGCGAGTCTGCGCAACGGCGCACCGCCTCCTCGGAGACGAGCCGAGCCGCTCCGCGAGTCTCGATCAGCTGATCGGGCCACGTAGTAGCGGAGGGCGCCGCATGACGCGTCACGACGAAACAAAGAAACTAAACTGTCTCATTGACGCGGGCGATCGACTGCACCGCGAATCCGCATCCGGCCAAAACATTGCAATTATTGCGACTCACACTGCGTCGCACATCGAGCAGACTTAGCTCGGTACATATTGTAGCTCTAAGGCGACAATAGATGTTTACGCCGAGGCCGGTGTCGGGCACAAAGCATTATGCGTGCACGTCGCCCTATGCTGTGGCAATGGGCGCGATATTATACTTGCTAATTACCGTAACCCGAGGTGTAAGGCGAACATTAAAACGGAAACCGTGTACCTAAGCCTCGTTTCTTTGATTTTAATAAAACGAGCTCGTTACAAAATATTCCAAACTCATTACAACATTCAGATTGAAACAAATCCAGCTGTCAACTTTAAATTCCTTTATTTCTTTTGAACGCTTGCGTTTTGCAAACTCGGCACTGTGCTATGAGTCATTGAAACGACACGACATATAACACGACAAGAACCACTTAAAATTATCGCATGTTTATGAACAAGTCGGCATTTATTTTTTTCATTATTACGAACGCAAAATACCATAATTTTATTCCCGTAGACTAGATCGTGAAATGTTCGATCTTTCTTTTAGCTGTTTTTGTATATTGTATTATATTGTAAAGTGAAGCTAAAGATAAATGCTAAAATCGCTCAGGGATAGGAGACTCGTCGTTGCCCACAAAACCGCGTAAGCGAGTCTCGGGATACGGGTGTGCGGTTTCGGAGCACGGCGGTCGGCGTCACTCGACCTGCTCCCGAAGAATCTGAAAAGTCTCACTGAGTTGAGGATTAAGGAATATTTCAGTCCGAATAAGAACGACAAGTGCATACCAAAGTCGGGAGATTGAACGAGCTCACTTCAATAAAATTATTCTATGCGATTCTAACACCGACTCACAAAAAATAACCTTTCAGAAAATTATGTAATTAATGGATTTTCTATTTATTCGCTTACTTGATATTTCTCAGTTGTCAGTATATTCAGGTGAAGGACAATTTTGTTTTTCGCGTATTACTGCCGTTCAAAGGCGATACTGCGTTTTGCTAAAAGTAATTTATTAAACCATTGTGTACCTACAGAAATATGAAATTGTAACGCGCAGCAGGGTGGAATACAATAGGCCGCGGTGGGTTCGCCGCGCACCGTTCGCGGGGTCGGTTCCCGCCGCGAAAGGAGGCAGAGCGGATATCGTGCGCACTAAGTCGCCTTTTGTCGATTCTTCAACAAAGGAGAAATATTTTTGAAGAACTCTTCTTATGAATCGCCTTTGTTCGGACGTCGCTCGATAAATACGGAGAAAGTTTCGCGGCCCCGTTCGGTCGCCTCTTTTTATCGCTCAAACGAATGGAAAGAAAACGTCGCCTATTATTAGAGCATCGGTCGTTAAGGGGCCTATTTATCGTTACATATTTAGAAGGCCTACAGAACTGAGCTATAATCATTAGAGACACGGTGTAACCACTACAATGTATTATGTATGCGAAAGAGAAAAACACCCGCTGAGCGCTCGAAGTGTGGCTCCGTAACGCACGATTTAGTCGCTGACGTAGGCACTCCGTAAACTATCGATAGACCGTGTTTGGGAAGAAAGATTGCTAAAAACGACATTTACTGTGAAACGCCGCACGTATGTCTATGTTTGTGCAATAAAGAGTTTTTCTTATTATTATGACGTCTGACAATACGAGTATCACTCAATAAGCCTTTAAACGTATGACGGCGTCGTCACACTTCGAAAGAAGCCCGTGATTCTATTTCGGAGCGATGTTGTGGAAGGATAGATAAGCCACAGGAGTCGGCCTCCTGCTAAGAGCGCTATTTCGGTGATGCGGGTCCGCTTACCTCTCGGAAGCATTTCAAAGGAAGAGAGTGAACAGCCCTCGATTCTTTATAGGATTTAAGGCCGTCTCGTCAGTTCTAACCAAACTCAGTGAAGTTGCCACCTAAACAAAACAAATAAGGGAAGGCCGAACTAGCCGTTGCTTTGCGACATTAACTAGCTATGAAAACGCTCGTACCGTACTTTTTGTAAACGAATTTACATAATGGAGTCGCCGACCGGCTTCCGTCCGTTTTTGTAGGTACTTAGCGGCAGCGTAATGCGCGTTGTTAAGATAGGCATCGAGGGGGACCGACTCGGTCTTCGACGAAAAGCGAGATAACGACCTCCGTCCAATATTTCTCGCTCGAAGCTCAAACTAAACGAGTTCCTATCCTGTATTTGAATTGTAGAATAGAAATATGACCCTAGATGACGTCGCGTCACCGTCGAAAGCGAACGAACTATGATTGTATGGTAATGAGGGCGAGCGGCGGCCATGGATGTCGTCGGAATATTTGCCCCGTGCGAAGTGTCTCGGCGCTGACTATGAGTGGCGAAGACATCGTTATCCATTGCTCGGAAGACGAGAGCGACTTTTCCTTGCGACTTTTCTGTCACTGTGGGCGTAGACGCGGAAAGTACTACGCCAAACGGCGCCGTAACTGTGTCGTAATCGTAATCGCCGTCCAATTTCCCGTCCCCACCCGTAAACGGCCCTGTCCCTCTGAAAACTCAGTTATTTGCTTCGCGAACACGTGTAATTTGACTGTGGCTTTAATGTCGCGCGGAACATTCCTTTTGTTAAATGAAAGTACGTTTTATGTTTAACCGGATACGAGTTTCGTATTGAAACAGCACGTCGCCCCGGTCGCGCATAGCTCGAGACTCTGAAGGACAACTTTTATCTATTTGATATTGAATAACAATTAATTACTAGGCGACTGGGTGAAACGGGTCTCTCGCGTCCCGTCGGCACAATAAAGGTTGTGAACGCGTTCGGGATCGACTGCGACCCTAATTCTATGGGAACGCTCGTCGCAAAGAGCGAGGAGACGCAGCATTCGCATTATCCCGAGTCGCGCTTTTATTAGGACAATTTGGCCGTTGCGACATGACCCGACACAATGGCAGGATAAGCCTCGCGTGCGACGGGAAATCGATGGCATTGCGATTCGCGAGGAAAACGCTGCCGTTTTTCGAACAATACATTCTTCGACTGAAGCGATGTTTTCAATGTAATCGTGTCCGGTTCTGTAGGCGACAATCACGACATATTCGTTACAGGCATTCACGGTTTTATTCTTCCCTGCATTCGGAGTAGAGCATTGTTTTACTCGCTCGATTATTTTGGAGCTCGCAACGACGACACACAATTCCAATCGTTTCTAAGATTTCTATCAAATGCATGCAAGAGTAATAGTAAAGTCTAGTCGAATACGTGTTTAGGCCCTCCGGTGAAGAGCACAGTGTGCCCTATTTCCACGTCACCGCGCTCCACTCTGCCCGGGCAGAGCCGGGGCAGCGCAGAACTAATGGCCCATTGTGAGCGAATCGTTCACAAAAAAGCGTTTCGCTTCGAGGAGCCGCTTTGTCCCCGCTCCGGGCCCGACCGAGGCGCCCCGGGTGCCATTAAACTCCATTTTTTGTTTGAATAACAGGAAGATGGGATCGAGGACGTCGATTCTCATTCTCTCCGGGAAATAATAAGACGATAAATAACTTTCGCAAAGCCGATCATATTTCACGGGAATTCGTAGGAAATGTCCAGCTGCCGCCGGCTGTCCGCTTACTTTGTCACAGTATCTTTGAATCGCCAACGAGCTGAGCCTTCGTTGGATCAGATACAGCGCGGTCGAGGCGAACTTTGCGAGACCCACTTACGCCGTTCGCCTAAGTCGTCTATGTTTGCTACGATACAGTTAATGTGCGGCTTCATCCGCTCCACATACGCAATACGGTAGGTTCGAGTTCCATCCGTGACCTTCTTCTGAATTTTTTTGCCTAATATTATTATGTTCCCACTTTATAGCCTCACTCCGTTTACGGACAGATAGACACAATAAAGAGTGTACGCGTACAAACACATCCACCGGATAAGTGGCACGTTATAACCTAACTACGTATGTTATTTATTCAACATTGTTGACAATTTTACCCACCTCGCAAATCGACGTGTAGAATAGAAAATACAAAATTTACATCGTTAGAGGTGTGAACGAATAAGCCTCGCAACGTCGCACGTGAGCCTCGCTCGGCGCTTGGATTCTCTCGCTCAGGCTGCACATGTCGTCAGTCACGCGATTTGCGCGCTCAAACCTAGGCCGAGAGCTCGCGTTGAATCCTGTCTACAGAGGCTCCTCGTATTGTCTCGCCCTATGCGCCTCCATTATTTTAAATTTTCCAGCAGAGTATCGAAGGACCAAATTACTTTTATTGCAACAAGTCGTACACTTTCCGACTTGTTTAATCATTCCGATGCGACCTAGAGTGAGCGACGACTGCGTCGATCGGGGTCGCGCGCGTCCGAATGGCTCCGGGCCCATTGTTATCGAAATGAAATCACGTAAAGGGAAATAAAACACGGAGTCGTTTCAAACCGACCCACCATTATTACTGCTGGGAATTTCGACGTATGACTTTCGTAACTCGAATGAAAAGTACGAAGAGTCATAATGGAAGATTCCGCTGCGGTCGGGAGGGTCGCGAGCCGGTCTCGTTTTGTTACTATGTACGTGAAGGGAAATAGTTAACTAGGATTATTCCGCTTCAGAATAAGTTCACTACTTCGTATAGGTCTGCGTCGAAAGTTATTTCACATAAACCACAAGAGACATAGCCGACGACGTCTCAAAATATGTACATATTTGAAATTTGTACTTGTGTTTCCCCCTTTTTCCGCAATTTATTAATTTTGAATTCGGTCGGCCGGACGGTCGGACGGTCGGACGGTCGGACGGTCACGTTGGACGGTATTAAGTATCTCTTCCACAGCAATGTGTTGTAAATTTTTATGGATATTATTTTAATTGTAACGCATTTATTTGTTTATTTTTATTCTGTGAGTTATTCCATCTTATCTTATTCTGTCATTCTATCTGCCGCGGCGGCTCCATTTCAATCTCTAAACCAATTTAAATAAAGTACAGTGTAATAAGTAACGGCATCGTTAAGTGTTACGTAACGTGCTCATTGAATCATCGAGTGACGTCATAGATATTATTTTTCCGAGTCGAGTAGTCGTTTGATAAAGCGACGGTTCCCAGCGTCGGGCTGCGACCTGGCCGCCGCCGCAGCTAGCCAAGTAACGAGTAATAACAGCAGTAAAGAGCACGTCAATCTCAGGTGAAAGAGTCTTTTTACTCGATTGTGTGGCCTTTGTGTTCGCTGCTCGGCTCCCGACCTCCCGTCGCTTTACGACGAGCTTTCTTCGATGTTGTCGGGCCCCGTGAACTACGATTTTTCTAATTATTAAGTCGCGCAGATGTTTGTGGAAGTGCGGAGTTTCAAATCGCTCGATCTAATTCGCATTCAATTTCATTCGCCAGTTCTACGAGTCACATGTGGCGAAAGAAGCGGGGCGGAGAGGGGTGAACGTTTTTTAATGCCTTTCGCAATAAATAATTATAACGTAGCCGCGTCGCCGTCCTCGGGGGTTCGCTTTCCCCCGTTTTGGAAAGCGACGAATACAATTTTGCACATAACCGCTCTCTAGTCCACGACGAGTAGATAAAATAATAAAAACAAAGGGTTTTCAGCCAACTGGCGCGATTCCGGAGCGCAACGACAGTCGAAGGGAACGGTGTAATGGCGTGCGCGATTCGCCACAGAGCCGCAGCCCGCGGGCACACACACACACACACACAGACATACACTCGGGGTAGGTCGTCAGCTGCACGTGACAGCACGTAATAGAAAACCTGACAATACACAGATTAATATTCTCCGCTTCATTACGGACGCCCTTCACGAGATAGGAAACGCCCGAAGAGGATTTATATATGTACATACCCACAACTTTGTATCTTCTATTAAAAAAGTACATCAGTTCAAACTTTCTGAGAACAATAGAAGCGAGCGTCATCGTTTAGTTTGTTTCCCGACTAAATTTAAAGTATGTATGAAATTTCAACGTTCGTTCTGCATAGGGACTTTGAGACGATAAATGTTGAAACACTTTTTGTCGAGGATTGTTGACGATTTTTTATAATGGCTTAATTGCTGTAAATTTAAGTTAGTCGCGGAGTCGGAATGCCGTCTCTCGTATCGCTCCCTCGGCGAAGCGGACCCGGACGGTGCGGGCCACGTTGCCGCAGGCGACTCGGCCCTTTGTGCCCCGAGATCGAGATCTCCTCCGAGGCGAGCGATGCTGAGATTGCGATCGTCCGCTTATCACAATTCTTTTGTATTAAAAATAGAGCACGTTCGGATAGTCCCGTCCGCCGTGATGAGATAGGAGCGGGGATAACTCTTAGTTCGGAACAGATTGTTTCATTTCATTCGTGCTTTTCGTTACCAGACGTTTGATTATGAATACCTAAGTATTTAAGGTTTTTGCGACATGTTTATTTTTAGTAGTCTGTATTCGAGCTACTGAATATAGATTATACGCTACTTCCAATATACGAAATTTTATTTTTACGTTTCATACTTAAATCTTTGTTAATAAGTATGTAATCTTATTCATTTATCTTTTTTTTCAGATCGACATAATGCTCTTCGGACAGCGATAGAAAGTAGGTAAGTACTATGTGAATGCTTTTCTTTGGGTAATTAAAGACGCTTTATAAATCGAAAGATAATATCTCGGAACGTGAAAGATTAGGAAGAATAGCGTTTTAATAACACGTTTTAAGCGCAGTGGGCTCGGGGACTTGACGGGCGCCTTTCATTTCGATAAATTACAAAATGACGCAGAAAAAAAATTAATCTTCTTTAGCTAGGGCCTCTACGACATTGTGTTCGTTTCACAAAGGGATCGGGATTAAATAGAATTCAGGTTTCTCGTTTCGTTATAACGAAACTTATGCAGCTAACGCCACGTAACTTCTTCACTTCTAAAAAATAATTCTCGGTGAAAGTGTTTTACCTAAAGTTTTGTTTCGTTTTATTGTTGGCGCAGAGATGTAATTGTTTAAAAATCAAAAATAAATTGAACAATTTTCGACTCGGGCAGGACTTGAATCGGCATCGTCAGCGTTCCGCGCTGTTGCTCTACCAATTGAGCTACCGAGTCCCACACCTCATTGTCGAATTTTTTCAACTTATTAATACATGCACCTACCGCGCAATGTAATTTCAACCTTAACTCTTGCGTTTTAAGGTTCAACGTCTTTGCAGCTTAAGAAATCATTAAAGATGAAATTACAAAGTTATAACGTTTGAAAACATTAATTATATTTTTCACAAGTTATTTGAAAATCGAAAATAAATTGAAAAAACATGTAAAATATATGAAAGTTTTCAAAGATGTAATTGTGTCATGTCAAAGTATACTTTTTATATCAGCTCATGTTGGATGTTTTACTCGCTCGGCGACGAGGAATAGCAAAGGTTCTAACGCTTTTTGTCGTTTCATGCTCACACGACACAAAAGAGGAGCTAGGCTTTCGTCCGTCACGAATGTAACTAAAAACCAGTGAAAGAAATAACGAATGAATGCCGGCCCTAACTTCGTTCATTTACAAAAACTTATCTCCCTCGGAATGTCTCCACAAATGATTTTGGCTCTTTGCGTAATTCAATGAAAGAAAGAGTCTAATTGAAGAACAGTTTTTTACCTTTGCGAGGCCTTTGTGTTACGATAAGATTGTAAAAGTTGCGTCTATTAAGTTCTAACGAGCGCACAGAGTCGTCCATAAAGAAGCAGTAAAAGTGCCATAACTGGAGTTATAAAGGCCGTATAGAGATGGAACTCGGGGTAGATAAGTTTACGGCCGTTCCGAGAGCGGCTAGGACTTCTCCGATGCCGTGTCTGTCGACGATCGATAGGGCCTGTCCGCGAACGAAGCGACCGTTGAAAATTCATTTATATCAATCGTGATTCGCGGGAGGCCATTACTTCGTCAAACAGTATCGAATGACGCGTGTGGCGAGGTGGAAAATTAACCGACTCTCGACTAAAAATCGTAACGGGGAGGATCATTTGTTTGCGGTCTCCCACCGCCGCTATTCGAGTGTTCGATCCGATTTATTACATCGCCGATAAAGCCCTGTGTGTGTGTCATTGTATTACGTACCGACAGTGCGCTCCGTGATTAATGCGGACTCTAGTTATCGCGTCGCCTTATTGCCGACGCGTAGTATTCTGCCCGTACCTATTATCCTATTTACCTATTTCTCATCGCAATACATATTACCGTCCGTCCTAAAATCAAAAATAGTTAGGAAAGTAAAAAAGGTTCCGGGTATTCTGTAATCTGCCTCCATTATCTCCGGACTGCATGCAAATAGTAATCCACACAATAATTATGGCAAACCGGAAGAAAACGTGACGTATTGCGAGCGAGATAAGGCTCAAAAGAATAAATCAAAAGATAGTTTCGTTGCCGAACCTCGATCCCTCGACAAGTATTCAGAAATGTTTTATGTTAATTGTAGGTGTTCAAATAAAGTGCCGCCCCACTCGCGTTCAACGTAGTCCAAATGACGGAGTTAGATATGAATTCGACTCTAATCGTTGAAGACAAGGTCGAGTTTCGTGGAGTATCTCGGGAGAAGCTCTCAAATCGGCATCGTTAAATATTGGGTTACATTGTTAGAGGACAAGTGCTCGCGAAATTGTATACGTTTTAGAATTTTGACAAATAATAGATGGGGGATCTACCTACGGTGGTCTTAAGCTATTAAAAATGTTATAAAGTGCGTTCTAGATATATGAGTGCATTTAAGTTTAATGTATATACATATATTTGTAGATAATAAATGGCGTGCATTGTCAACGCAGAATTGCACAGTAGGCGCCAGAAGTAACAAGCACAAATAAGAGATTTATGACGTAGGAATGAAAGCAGTTCACTTAATGAATTAACTGTATCGCCTTCGCGTTAAAAAGCAACTCTTTAGAAAACACATTTTTTCGTCTCATAGACAGTAGTTAGCCCACTTCTCAGTCGACATAGTGGCCACAGTGTAAATAGAGTCGAATTCCGAGAGAGAACGTTAAAAGCCCACAAATATGTACATAAGAAAAAAGTATTTGTTTTGCCTGTAACGAATCGTAGAGCGGAGATATTCTACTTCGTGCTGCGTCATCCGTCGTTCACTCTATCGAGATGTGAGAACATTTTGTGGTTGGCGTTTCTTCGTTTCAACGCTTGATTTAGTTCAACTTTATTATTCGTAGCACTTATTGTTAAGAGAAAAGGCAGTCATCGAAAACCAAACCTTTGCACCCATTCATTGCGCTATTAAGTGTTTTCTGCAAGGTGTAACATAGTCGGCCGTTACGTACCGTATCAAATTGATTACTAAAATAGCATAAAAGTCGAAGTGATGTAGTCACAATACAGTTACTTCCCACAAAGTCTGCATGCGAACAGAGTGTGACACGCGTACGCGTCTAATCAGGGCCAGAACGCCCATTCCGTGCAATCGTTGTCGGAAAATTATTTACTCGCGCTCTTTCCATTACGACTGCATTGTTGTTTAAACAATATCGCATTCGTTGCCAAAAGATGTTACTGTCTACGGAGTAAGTGCGGGGTGCGGGGTGCGGGGAGCGCACCACGAACGGCGAAACGGGGCGTTATCTTTTATTATTGCTGTCTGAATTCTGAAAGGGTCGCTCGAATATCGTTTTATTTCGTTTCGTCCGGCTCTGGGAAAATAGGGTTCGAGGCTCGGGGACTTCGCCTCGAAATAGTCAACGTCGATAACGGTGATGCCGCTTTCCTTCTTTCGATGCAGATATGCAGAGACGCGTAGAAGACACTTCGCCCGTCGGGACGCGACAAAAAAGGGCAAACCAGTTAGCTGTTAGACCGAGATCGCGATTACTATTAGTGGCTCGACGAACCGATCGACAACGGCGAGTCTCGCCCCTGCACTTTTCCAATTTGCAGAAAAAACACTAGAACTACTTTGAAGCAGGAAACGCCCTAAAAAATAAGGGAATCCCTCGAGCGGAGCCATAAAAGTCGTTTAATATAATTTGAAGAGATCTCTCGAGCGGTGCTTCGCCCTCGCGCCGCCCTAACACAATACAGCGACTGTGATATCAAATTTGAAATGCTGAAACGTGCTTCATAATATAATTGAGTGAGCGCCCGCTACGTGTAAAGCGGGGTGCACACTGTCTTGATTATATAACGTACTGGGTTAGGCTAGGTTTTGCAGCCTCGCCTTAGAGCGGGCCGTGCAGGTCTAGGTTATTTTATACATATTCACGGATTTAGTCGCCGACCATCTCGCCACCTCTGTGCTAGAACGAAGCCAATAAGCGGAGAGGTCTCCAATACCCTGAAGTAGGCGCAAGAACATTTTCCATAACGAGCTTCGAGTAAATGTAATTTAACAGCGAACAAATGTTTATTTTATTACTCTCATGACTTAGACAACGCGTCCGGTGTGTCGTCGGCCTTATCTGTTCGAACCCCGCCGGCCGTCGGGTCCCAAAGGGGCCGCCAATTAGTAGCCAGCCGCGTCCGAATGTCGCAATTGTTAAAAACCTAAAATCCAAAAGAAGTGTAAGCCAGAGTTTTTGTTTGAGCACATTATGGTATTACTAGATGTAACGGCCCGTTAACATTTTACAATCGACAATAATCACTTTAGTGTCGATTGTCGACCGACAGACGTCGGCAGAAAATGAAAAGCTTTGATGTATAGAGATACAGTTACGGACCGGATAAAACATGTTTAGATGGCTAGACTTTCCTACTAAAGAAGGAAAGTCCGGTTTCTTAAAGAATACCGGAACCGGTATTCTTTAAGAAACCGGACTGGACCGGACATCGAACGATGCCCGATTTTTGTATAAGAATGGCGTTTAATGTGTCGGGAGCTCCGTAATTGAACGATAATTATCACATCTTAAGCAACAATTCAGTGAACGACCAGCGGCTCTTGAAATATTAGAGAGATAAGAATAATTACGAGGTATGCTATAATTACATCGATTCGTTTTTGTGGAGGGTGCAAACGAGCAATCGGCTCGTATGAAAGGGGAACGGCTCTCCGCCCCTGCCCTATTATGTTTCGGTAACAATAATGTAGGTAATTGCAGGTGTGTTGCCGGGTCTTAATCACAGCTTCGACTGTATTTCCCTTCAGTGCTAACTTACGTGTTCTAGAACTAGGCATTTGTTTTAAATTTTGGATACCTATTCTTTCAAGTGCGATAAGGGGTAGAAAACATCAATTGAATACAAAGATTTTTTATTTACCATAATAATGAATGCAGAGTCACAGCACATGCTACACTTAAGATTCGCCTGCAGCTAAGCAAAGTTGTCAATTGGAGCGGGTTCCGGTACATAATGTGGCACTGCGCAAGTGGTGCGGCGGTATTAGCACGAGAGAAGGTCCTCGCTCGCAGGAAACGGTTAGACACGCTCGTAATCCGACCCCCTTCTCCCCCCATCCCAAGTATGCAGCATTGTAGCGTAACCGAGTGACGACTGCGCCTGACATCTGTTTCAGGACGGCCACACTGTTCGCGATACAAGTGGTTAAATATTAGTACGATCAGGCCTTTTATTGTAATACCGTAGCGAAGATCGGACCTAAAAAAGGAATCTAAAACATGCGTTATACTGAATCTACTAGAAGAAAATAATGAACAGCAGTAATTCAAAGCGCTACTATTGCCCCAAAAAAAGGAGAAAGAAAACAAGAATGAAACTTGAATGGTCGCTATTGATCATAATATTTCTTAATTACTATGAGTCACGTAATACGCTTAGTGAATCGCTACCAGTTGAGCGGTGTCGAGAGAAGTGTGGCCCCGCCCAGCCCCGCACCATTAATCTGCTGTCGAGCGCACACGTCCACTGAGCACCAGATCACAATACGGACTTTAGGCTGTGCCTGTAGATTCGCTGTTTTAGGTATGGTTTAATCGATAGCCTAGTGGCTCGTGTTTGAACAGCCTTCAGAGCCCCGAGAATCGCTCGGCGCAGAGCGGCAGGAGGTGGTCTATTCGTTCGCCCCGCAGTCCACATCCTTTGTGATCACACCGCGGCGGTATCGAATTCAACCTATTAATTATTATAATGGCTCTCTGAAAAAAGTAAAAGAGAGAAATGCGTTCGGCTTTGGAGCTACCCTTATAATGCGAAGTAATTTCTAATATTACAATAAACATCATTTACATTAGTATTGAAATATAATAATGAAAGAAAAGGAATGAAAAGAACTGTTATAGAAATGTATTACCAATTTCCACGTAAATTACGCATATTGAAGGAACCTACATTTGGTAAATACTATGTCCATAGGACTTCTATTACAATCATTTTCAACATATAAGCGCGAGTCTAATCGTCAGGAAGGCTCACTTTTTATTGCATTGAATTGTATTAAAGGTACATACTAGTATATTGTATATACCTCTTACGTATACATTATCATCATTATTCAAAACATTGCACCCGTGATTCTGACCCCCACGTTTATTAGCGAACCAAATAATATGTCAAACACTGCGACCTTTGTGAAATTGAACGTACCTAGGACGAGGTATTATAATGATGAGAAAATGTATAATGTACACTAATATTATAAAAAAGATTTATTTCTATTATATGTATATATCGTGGGATTGTTTCTATGTATATTTGCTAGAACAGATTAAGAGGATCCTACTAAAACTTTAGTAACGGATTTTGCAAAACGTATTACGATTACCTACAAAAAACATCGTCTAAGGCCTAAGCATATGTCTAACTGTCATAGTTTATTGTATACATTTTAATTCAAGTGCTTTTACAGATGTTTTTTTTAATAGTTTTATGTTAATCATTATCAAAACAAATAATTTCATATTTAAAATTACTTCAATAGCTTTATAATTTTTGAATTCCCCAATTTGAGCTACGCATCCGAATGTTATCGCTCATGATAAATGTAAATTAAATAAAAAATGTGGTCGTGGTCGCCGCTCTCACCGCTGGGAAGGCACCGTAGAAACGCTGGAGGTGTGCCGGGGGCAACACCTTAAACTTAAAAAACCTTAAAATATTACCACAAAAAAATTAATATAAAATTAAATAATAAACATATTCTATAAAATTATTTTATAAGTAAGAGTTTATATGTAAAAGAAATTATTATTCTTTAATTGCGATAAAAGTTTTATTATTAGGATGTGTGATTGGTTTCTAATAAATAAAATAATTTATAAAATATGAAAGCGATCAGTAATGTGTGATAAGAGCCATCTGGCGGCATTGTTGGAAGTACGTATTGTTTCAATTATTATATTCTAACCGAGGATTGGGTATTAAAAAATCTGGTAACAGTTAACTAGTAGATATTGAGGTATCTTTATGACTTTTTTAGTTTTAGCTAATTTCAACCACCGCCATTAATGATATAAATAAAAATTATTCCATCGTTACTTCCATTTTTATTTGAAGTAAAATCTGTACAAAAGCGACATCTCTAAATAAAGATAGAGAAATTGAGATTCTTGATAACTGTGTAGTCTACGCCACTATTGCATAGAGGGCGGTTATATCAATTTATTATTGTAAGTGTCCTGCTGTTTTAGTCACAAATAAACAAAATAATAAATACGATTTTAGGGTCATTAATCCGTTACTAAATAAAATAAGTATTTTATACAGTCTGAAAACTGAAATAACTCGTAACTTCGTTCAAACATAAAAGCAACAAAACATGAAACTCCGGAGAAAGATCCCAGGCATAACAGGCTAACAGACTAGTGTAAATTTTGTATTAAATATTAAAACACTGATGTATTTCCCTCCGTTTCTTTGCTCCTATTAGTCGCGGCCTGATGTTTTATAGGCCTTTTTCAATAAATGGTTATTCAAAATATAATCTCTATCTCAATAATGGTCTCCCTCTCTGTTGTGTGCGAACGAAAACAAACGTCATTGTAATTGTTAAAATATTTTTTTTTTCTTTTTAGCATGAGTTTTACATACCTTATGAAATAATAATATAATATACTGATGTATATACATTAGGTATTCGTTAATATCTAATTGATTTTGAAGAGGTATCCTTAACACTATGTTATGAGTATCACAGCCTGCACATAGTCTACACTAAACGTATTACTTTAAAATAATGGATTTGTATAGGAGCGATTCTTCAGATCATAAACGCACCAACGACCCGACATTATAATCGGAACACCTACGTGACTTAAATTTCAATTATCGGTAAAAGTGTCGAAGAGTCACGTACCGATATACATTCTTTCGATAGCGCGTGAAGGTTTGCCTCCGACTAAATTGCTCCAGTTTTATCCGTGGAACCAAGTTCTGATATCGAAGGGGTTGAAAACTCTGAGGGTCCTAAGATGGTTGTTCGCTTGCGAGGTGTAGACGTAGAGGCCCCTTGTTTGCGGTGAGCACCTGTACCCGACGTTGACTCTATCGCCGCTACACCTTTTGCCCTCGAGCTCCTCCCAAGTGGCACAATGTGCGCCGACGAGGAGGCTGTCGTTGCCGACCGAAGCGGAGAAGAGCTTCCACGCCTGCGCGTGGTCGCACTCCACGCTGACGGCCCTGTCCTTGCACTCGGGCTGGGCGGAGTCGACGCCGTTGGCGTAGACGTCCACGTGCCCGAGGGGCTGCTCTAGGCCGACCACGCCGGAGCTGGTGTGAAGGACGTACACGAAGCTAGCGTCGTCCCTCTTTAGCCTATAACTCGAAGGCTTCAAGAAGCAGGGTCGCGCCGGATCCAACGCAGTTATCTTTTGCAGGCTTCTGTTCAGCTTCTTTTTGACCAGCCTCCCGGCGATACCGGCGACGTGAGCGCCCAGACTGAACCCTATCAAGTGTATTCTCGTCACGGGAAAGCCAGTCAGGCTCAAGTTCTTGATAAAGGAGAACAGGGTATAGGCGAGGCCGCTGACCTGCAGGGCCGAGGAGACGTAGCCGCGAGAGAACGACTCCCTCGTGTCGAGGATGAGAACTGAGGGGTTGTCGCCGAGCAGCGCCCTAACTAAAGCCTCGGAGGATTCGTCGGTCGGCGTGTTCCACCAGCCCGGTATGTACACGAGCAGCTGCGAGTCGGGGGCGAAGGATCGAGTGTGCGCTTTCGTCAGGGAGAACTTTCTTTTGCCGGATTTCGTGAATTCGAAGAACTTCAGCTCCGGGATGACTTGGCTCGAAGCGAGCGCGTCGAACGGCAGCGATTCGCCTGAAATGTGACAAGAACAAGAGATTTACATAATACTTCGCTTGTAAGGTGTTTCACGTCCGACATAAATGGTTATTTTATTTATACGCACAAATATACGAAGCGGAAAAATACTATTAGGACGTGAGTGAGGAGATAAATCACGGACGATGTGTTTCTAGCGTTTAATGCAGAGGAAGATGTTACATTTTTCATGTCATGAATTATTAGTCGATCCCAAGATAATATCTTCAGCATGCCCTATTTTTTGGCATATTAGTATTAATGAATTCTTTTTCGTCGGTAATTATTGATTTCTTGCGAACAAGGCACTAGTAGGTGGTAATTGAATCCGCTCGATCTGCCTTACAGTGCAAATACACAAGACTGTGTGGCAACTGGCAAAAGCAATGGCCGTTTACTACCTGGTCTCCGACTGAAAGACACCCGACAGGTTTATCTTCGTTTATTAATAAGTTTTCTTTTAAGATTATACATATTATAAAACGCTTATTTACTATTTTTTATTGATGTAATTTACAAGGTCTAAAGTATATTATTTGTCCTATTTGCATACATTTAAGAAGGATTAGTTTACCTTGGGATTTCAATTTCGATAATTTAAATTTATTTTGTATTTTGATAATTTTACCTTTTTTACACGCTACAAGCGATTACTTGTTTGTTGAATTAAAATATGCAATGATAGAGTAATAAGTTATTTGAATACACGTTTTTAACGACTTTTCTATCGTGCTAAGGCGAACCATGTTAATGGAGATCATATTATTTACGGGCCATATAAGAAACTAGTACCAGTAATGTAAAAATTGTTCCTATTTAACCATTATTAATGATGTGAAACACCTTGTGTGCACCCACTATTTCACACGAAACACATAATCAGCACTATTTATGTGATTATTGAAATTTATGAAGTCTAACGCACACGAGTCGGAAGCCACTCTGATGATCTGGTCGAGGGTGGCGGAGAGCAGACGAGGGGGCGCCCACGAGCGCACTTCGCCCGCGAGCACCGCTACGATTCCTGCCAGCACCAGCGCGAACATTGTCGTCGAACCCAGGACAGCACCGGCGCTTCCGTGCGCTTCGAACCGCGCGCGAGATCACAATATCGCCCTTGATCTTCGCGCGCTCTGCCTCGCCGCAGGTGACGTAGCGACGCATAGAAGGGATTCGACGACGAACATACCTACGAGCGGAGAACTCTCGGGTCGGTCTCCGTTAGCGACCTGCATACGCATTAAATGTCGAAATTCTCACACGCCCCCTTTAAATGTCCCAAAGCTGAATTAGATCTAATTAAGCATTTTCGAGTCAGAAACAAAGCAGACGTATCGCTAACCCATCCCACCCATAATAGTGCAGTATTAATGAGTCGAACGCTCGTCTCCTAACTTAGCGCACATTTGTCGCAATAAGCGCGAGTAACATGATATCGCAGTAGAGTAGCCTGTCTTCCGCTATTCAATTGAATTGGCTATGAAATTTCCGTATAAATGGCGCGTCTATGGCGAGGACTACGATGCGCTTCCGGTAAATAGAAACAGGTTTGAAATATGAGAATTGTACTTTAACAACACGACATTAAAACCATTAGAAATAAACAATAGTTTCTTCCCGTTTCAATGGCTCCAGTGAGATTTCATCGGGTGTAACGCGTGACATGTATCAGTACATGTATCGGCAGTTTGTTAGAAAATCGGTCCGCTCACAAGTTTCGGCGCCCACCTCGGGAGCGTTTCAAAGTCGGTTATATGGAACAATGGCTCGATGCGTCCGATAAAACTTTGACTTTCGACCTCGATAGACGATAATTCGATATTGCTTCACCGCCGACGAGAAGCCCCGGGGCAGACCTCCCGGCGATCTTGTGATTTATGAGGAATCCAGTTAATTATCTTCAAAAATACCGGTGCAGCGCCGCACTCATCGGAAAAAACTTGTCAAGTTCATAATTGCCAAGCAAATCATACCTTATAGGTAAAGGACTCGAGGTACAGTCGGGGTTCTTTACTCGTTCCGAGTCGATTCCTTAAATTGTCGAGTGCTAAGTATTAGCAGTAGGATGATGACGTTAAACTCGAAAAACTCTCACACAGGTCTCACCTAAATTGTCAAACTTTATTACTATGACGTTCTAACGGCTCAATTAAGCCGAGCGACGCTCGAAAAAATCAAATGGCCGTTCACTGCTTCGACTCGACATTGAAGTAAATAATTCGTGAAGAATGTGAATCACAGAATAAGGTAATCGCGCCGTGTGAACTAACGGGTACTTCGTGATCTCCGGTGAGAAGGTCGAAGGCTCTTATTTGCTTTAGCCGAGTTAGGTCGCTTCCGAATTGTTTGAAGTGTGTATTCGAGCGCACATAATCGCGTGTTCAGTGCGAATCAATCAGTTCGGAATGACCTAATTTTAAAGGTGCATAATTATTACGGAAGCGGCATATTCCATTGTTTCGAATATTATTTTTCGTTACAGTAGTTTTAATAAACAAAGTAATTCACAATGTAAGACAACAAATACGTCTATACAAGATGAATGATTGAAAGCTATTGTTCTTTCTTTATTAAGCTTTACAAGGGACAATATGCAAATTCAAAGTAGGTATTTATATCTATGCTAGTTCGACAGCAAAGGTACCAAAGTGCACGCGACATGCACATTAGATGCCATTATCCTATCTCGGGTAACATATAAGGAGTAGTTAACTCAAATCACTTTTCATTGTGAAAATAATGTTTGCGAAGATATCCCATTGTGTGGTTCTGTGCTATCTCGTTGCAAACGTTCACAGTTTGCCAGTAAGACATTTTAATATGTTATAGCGTGGTAGAGATGCTCATAGTAATAAACTATTAAAGTTATCTGCAATTGGTTAGCTATAGGAAAGCAGAGCAAGGAAGTAGTCGTCGGCTATAATTATTATTCGCCGTTTTCAGCTCCATGAGGTGGAGCGTCCCTCTTTCTGGTCGTTATCACCTCGAATAGCATCAGCAGGCCACATGTCTCGGCACGAAGCTCTCGAGTCGAGGCAAATGGACTCTCGTCTCCCTCTGCCCTTACCTCAGGAGCTGGAGGCAATCAAGAAGGTCGCTCAGGTGCTCGTGATGCTGGGAGAACAGGTAAATATTAAAAGTTGTATGGGGCCATTATGTTTGCTATATCCCGTTTGATGTATTTAAATATCGCAATAATCTCAACTGTGTCTATTAACAATTAGGTGATACCGGACATCATCAGCCAGGTCCCGACTGCGCCAGCCTACACAATCAGTTCACCATCGCCTGCAGAAGTGCCTAACGATCCCGTTTATCTTAATTGAGACTTATCAATTTATGTCAGCGACTTTCGTATACTTATATTTTTTAAATTCCAATAAATGAGCAAATCTATTTAAGGACGGCTTAAGTCAATAAATAATAACCATTTTCAATTTCTCGTGGGCACGGCTAATACAAAAACACATATGTTCACGTTGTTTTATATTTTTTATTTCGCCCTCGGTATCTTAAGGCGTGATATTTAATATTACGTGTGAATAAATAAAATGAACATAACAAATATGATTGACCGTAACGCGGTTGTAATATTTGAAGACTCGCAAGAGGCAATTGGCCCTGACCTATCGTATTAAACGAAACTAATAAAATTATTCACCATTCAGCTATAACTCTACACTTAGGAATTTCTACTAGGTCTAGTACTAATGAAATTAGTAGGAAAAAGTGAAATTTAATGTAGTGCCTTCGATCCTACGCCTCCTGAAGTAATGGTAGGCCCATCTGATGGTACTGAAGTACACCAGCTCATTCAGACAAATCAGACTGGCGCCACACAGCAGGATCCACTGACTGCCCAGAAGTGCTAAAGTATAAATGTTCCACATTAGAACAAGAATACGTAAACAGATTGCACTACAAATTAGACGGACGCCTACCTATGTCTTCGTAGAGGCGTAAATTAGTTTCCAGGATGTGCACGATCTGATCATCTTCAGACGCGTAGAATATTCTTATAACAGTCGAGTTGGTAAACGTAACGCCGTCCCTGTAAAGGGTTTTCGCAAAATATGTCATAGGTACTGTTTTTTACATACTTATTGCATATAGCCTTACAAAAGTTTGTTTCTAAATAGTTTTTTCAGTGGCGCGTAGTCGTATGGGACGTGAGCTGGTGCAGCGGAGAAGGTAACGTGTCTGCAGTCTGGGCGGCAATGCAAACATTTCACGCCATTTGACTTCTCGTTATCCAAAGTGGAATCCGCCGCACTGCCAGGGTTGTAGTACGTCAGCTTCTCTGTGTCACATAAGGAGACCTCAGCTGTGCCTCGCTACTCCTGCTCCTCGTTTACACGCACGAGAGCGCTTCACTTTACCTCGGTGTTTATTTAGACAGTATAGATGTTCCGGCGAGCACACTTTCTCGCCCTCTTGCGGTTGCATATTGAACGGCACGCAAGAGCACAGCGCGATAGTCGCACGTCGTCGACACTCCAGGACGCAGGCTGCCTCCGTGCCCATGCTCGCAGAGCGACACCCGCGCTGCAACAACAAGTAGGCGTGCAGTATTTGATCACATCGCTTTGAGTTGCGTAGGAACAGTAATTACAAATTCTTCGCTGTGATAATGCATTTGCCTGGTTATGTCTTGCGCTTTGAAGAGAAGTCGAAAGAAGACTGACGCGTTGTATCTCGCTCGATAAGAGTGAACTCCGCTGATTTCAGTGAGAGGATAGAGTAATCCGTCGAAGAGAGTGATCTGCGCATAAAGGAGTTTTAAAATAACTAAAGAATAATCGAAATAAGAGTTTTGTAACTTCATTCAGATCAATTGTGGCACCTCAATGTCGTGACTCGGACTCCGCATGAAGGCGGAATCTTCTGTATTTTCCTTTACGACGACCATGAGCCCCTTCTCCTGGCCGACCGCTTTAGCTTTCTTCGAAACTCTAGTCTGGTCTTCGAGACTGGAATTGTTATTGATATAGTAGTCTCTTTAAACACGGAAGTAACTTTGAAAGAGATTAAAAAGACATGCCTGTATCTGGAGTTCATGACGCAGCAGAAGCCGTTGCCGGTCACGCGCGGTGCAAAGAGCAAGCGGCACGGGACCACTCTCCCGTGCCAGCTGCACCTAGCCAGCGTCGCCTCGCAGTCTGGCGACAGCTGGGTTCAGTGCAAGTCAGATTTAAACCTTAGCCTTCGATTACAAATCCATTTAGATTGAAAACAGCGTTCTGTGCTGCTAATGTACAATAACATGTGAAAAATAATAACAACTTACCCTTCTATTAACAACTAGCTGTGCCAGCGACTTCGTCCGCTAAGAATATAATATACTTTGGGCATCCAAATTCGTTTTTGCATATTTCGTTTTGCATAAACTAAAGCCGTTAGGGCCGACGTCAGTCGCGTCCCTTCCCGTTGTTTTTACGAGTTAATCTTAAAAAATAGACATATAGGGTCGCGCGAGACTTTTTTTTAGGTCTAAAGAGGAATCAGTCTTTCATACATATTTTTGGGTATCTTGAACCGTTTTTGCAGCGTATGCCTCGGTACCCCATAATGACGAATAATTTTCCCATTTCCCGCTCTATCTGTGCTTGTATTAGTCACAGGGCATTATTTTAGCCTTCTTTTTAATTCGAACCCGTAGTTACTGAGCTTCAACTTTATATATAAGTATAGATACAGGAATAATTAAAATCACCTTTAGCATAATGTTAGTGATATTGGTTTCCTGATCAACTTCAGACAAAAACTTCATGAAATGGAGATCGAAAGGCTCCCTAGTCCTGGTGACGAGGCCGCCGAACGCCATCAAATTATCTCTTATCTGAGGTAGGGTGAACGTTCCGTTATTGTCGCGATTTGCCCTGAAAAATATTATCGGCCGAAACCTTTAACCTTGGGCAATTCCTTGTTATATATCGAATATAAAAAATAACTAACAATCGTGTGGCGTATGCATCGAGCGCGGTTTTAGTGATGACCGTGTAGCTGCAAAGCGCCACAGCAGGGAAATCCACGTGCAGAAGTGGATGCTGCAACAGCTGTTGGCTCACAAACAGCGGAGGCTGCCGATTGAACAGCGTAATGTTTACGACAATCAGCAGGAAAGCCGTCGTAAGCGTTAACGTAACGAGAGTGCAGTATATCGACCTATAAACAATTTCCGTTACTGCGTCGTTTCTTTGCGAGTTATTGTCAGCAAATTGAGTAATTACCTGGCAGGTTTCTTAGCTGAACGGACGAGTTCAGTCCCACCGACCGAGCTATTTTTGGCAAGCTCCCGCATTGCATCAGCGAAGCTAGAGCGAAGTCTTACTTCAAATTGCGACGCCTGGTAAGAACCGAAGCGCAATCTCTCTCGCCCGCGTATTGCTTTCTTTACTTTTCTGTGCCATTGTTCGGGGTCTACGGTCCTCATTTTTATGATACGTAAGGACTGATGGACTATAAACGGTATAATACCGTATGTCGATACGGATTTTTAAAGCATAGCATGACAATGTACTATTAAGTTGCCCTGTTATTACTTTGCAAGGCCAGTACGTTACTGGAAAGCATATTTAGTATTCAAATAATATAATTCGACTATTTTTCATAGTCGAAAGCTACTTCAGTAAACGTTGGTTTACGTTATACAGCTGTATTTCGTTTGAACAAATAAAACAAAGTCGTGGTAACTCTTATAATTTTCATCGTTTAAATTACATTACTTTGTTCTTGTTTGCAGAGTCCGACCAAGCGCCGAATCGGAATTGCTTGAATTCATAAATTAAGTGAACGGAGGCAGGATTTCGTCTATACTTTGTCAACAAAGTTGTTTTCAAGTGTACTCACTCATACTACATTTCTTTTGTCCTCCTTCGAGACTATGTCTAATGTAATCTCATTAAATGTTGATAAAATGCCCTGTTTGACGACTCCAGCTCGGTCTGACATTAGTTTGTACGATTTGGAGACAATTACGTCACTTATACATATCTATTAATAAGAAATAAATAATGTAGAGTTGTGCAAGCTACAGACTACTCGATTCAATACTGATTTGGTATCAGAAGACTCGTACTAAGTAAATCCTCAATCAATAACATTATTTACATACACACTTAAGCCTAGGCACCTTTGGCGTTCGCTTACATCAATACTTCAACAAAACTTACAACTAAACGATCATTGGTACAACAAATATATCCGGTCAAGGGGTCAAGAAAAAATAACTATCAAATACGCAAGCTGTGTCTCTTTCAAGATCACCGTACGTATGTGCAATTTGAAATTTGTAACTTCGGCCAGCTATTCAATAGCTCCAAAAACATTCTTGTCTAAACCTGTATCCGTGCAGATAAGAATAAAATTGATTTTTGTCTCTACTATTCTCTAATTGTACTGTGAATGCCTGTCATAATAGCTTAAGCTAAAGCCGGAATATTTGTGCAGAAATATTTCCCAAGTTGAATCGTTTTATCTCTACTTTGCGCGCATTCGTTTCGGTTATGGAATCGGTTAGGCGAGAGGAGGCGATCAGACGTGCGCGGGCGCATTAGCGGCTCGCGCGGGCGCCGGTCACAAGTACGCGACGAACAGCAGCATCGAGAGCAGCAGCAGCGAAATGCCGCCGACGCCCACGCGGCTAGAGCGGGACAAGATACCCTTCCCTGAAAAAGACCAAGAGGAACGTCAGCGGAAGGTCGATAGCGAAAAAAGTGACATGGGCGGGAGTGGAACGGCACCGACATCGTTCGGCGAGGTGCTTATAACAGCAGCAGTCCCGGAGCCTCGCGTAGCGCACGCAGTCGTGGGCCAGGGGTCGGCAGCGGTGCGGCCCCACATAGCAGGTGTGCGGCAGCCATGGGAAGGGCTCGGGCAGGAAGCGCCGCTCGCAGCAGCAGTGGTCGGCCAGCACCCGCGTTTCGCAGTACTCCATCTCGCGACGCGTGCACTCGCCGCAGCCGTCGAGGCTCTCCGGGACTGAAAAACGGTTCAAGCTTATCAAGCCGTGTAACTAATTTGTTGATCTGATTCGCGAAAACGAAGCAAACTCACAAAGAACAAATAAACTAGATTGCAAGTTGTGTCGATTTACCTCTATAAAGAACGTGATCTAGAGGATTCTAAATTTCATTCGTTGCTCCATTTCCGTTATCGAAAGAACTGGACGAGAATAAAAATGCGATCTTATTTATAATTCACCTCACTTCGGTCAGCAACTAGACTCCATTCAGTTTCTAAAGTACTTCGGTACCGTCGTCTCTATGACTTTTAAATGGTTTATATTCCACTTCCGTTAGTTTAGGCCTTTGTGAATTATATTTACACAAAAAGGTCCAAAACGTCGTCAACATAATCTTTAGCGTCAAGCGTTTTTTGAAGGGTTTTATAAGTGAGTGATTAATTTGATTGACTAATAAATCTACCACAAATAATCAAAAGGTTTTGCCCCCTTCCTACTTTATTACTCTATTTAAAAAGACTTCTTTAAATATTCAAATTGATCGCTATAATTATTATGTTAATAACAATGAAACGACTAACGGAGGATAATTTTAACAAAATCCGAGCATAATATGAGGAAACGATACTACGTCAATTGAATCCCACACGGCAACGACAGTGTGTCAGAGGCCTTTGAATTTAGCTCTTCGTAGATAAAGCGAATTATTTACTTTTTGGGTTTGAGTATGCTTTTTGATCTCGCAGAAAAATATTTTTATTTCGCCACGAGTCACGAAAAGGAATATTGCAAAGAAAACGAGAGCTTTTGAGAAATTGTTGCGGAGTAAAGACCGACTCTTCGGATCGTGGAGATCGGAGACGAGAGGCACGAAAATAGTGCAATTACTGCGAGGGGTACTTCTGCGGGGCCTTCGCGATCGCTCCCAGGCAGCGACACTAACAAGAGCGACGTTTAGCAGCACTCCCCGCTTTCATACCTAGACATACCAACACATATAGCATTAAGTTCGTATTACCGATTTGATGATGCGTCTTGAATGTAAAGAATATCTTATGTGTTGCGGTCGGTGTGGACGAGAGTTCTAGTTGTATTTTATGAAAAAGACGCGTTAGATGCGACGATTGTCCTTGAAGTTCACAATAAAAGAGGGTAAAGGGTGACGTCACGCAATTACATCACGATTTCGGAGGGCTGTTTCGCTTATCTCGATTTTTCATCTTATATTTAGTACCTATATGACAATTTAAGTGGAATATCGCTTATGAAAGCGAAAAGAGAGATTAAAACGAGGTGAAATTATGATTAAAAACTTCAAGATAAATTCCAAGAGAAAGTACTTCCATTGTCAACGGACACATTTTAGAAACAATAACTTTTTCCTTTGTCTCTTATTATAATTTCGACGGCATTAATTAAATTTTAATGATCGCGGGCGAGGCGTTAAGGTTTTTGCCTATTCAATGAAACATTTTTGTATCGTTCATCGCATCAGTCGCCTTTAGTGGACGAATAGACTTCGCCACTATTGAAGTTCCGAATCGACGTGATATTGTTCAGTTCACATTATTCAAATGTGGACAGAGCGTGCGCTGGAGGTTTGCACGTTGTCCGGTGACAAACGCAGACACGCCCACGCCGACCTTGTCGCCATAATTGGGGGAGAAACCTTATAATTTTCGCGTGTCCTTCCATCGTAGCGCAATCGGCGAGTGCTAAATGATTACTTAGTGCTTTGCACTAACACAGTACGAATGGAGTACAGGAGTAAAGGGTAAAGACTCGTATAAAAACACATTCTGCCGTGTCGAGTTTCGACATAGTTTACAATAATAGGCAGGTTTCGTGTCACGAACAATAAAAAGGAAAATTGAATAAAATTGCACTCGTCATTATCATGCTGCACAAGTGCGCCGAGCGTCACAGTCACATTACTGCGGCCTCTTATATAATAACACGACTCGATTTACTAAATCCTTGCATTTGTATTTGGATGAAAAGAGATGGAGAAGATGTCTTCGGAAAAAACGTGGGTGCCACAGTAAAATTACGAATTAGTCAGAATTAGGCCATTCGAGTCGACGGGTAGTGTTTCAATATATCTTATGTGACCGCTAATAATGGTACTTAAGTGTTGTGTCTGATGCCCGTATCGCAGCGAAGTACCTACGTCGTAATTAGTTTAGTTAGGTAATTTACTGTAACGAGTTCGCCAACAGAATTGAAGACGGGACTCTTCTCCTTGTTCCGCCCTCACTAATATATAGACTGACACGCCATCGATTGACATAATTGGCAGCGGTTTTGGACGACAAACAACCCTTTACGCAAGGTGCTGCAGACCCTAAAAGAAGATGCAGATATGAGGGAGGTTTTTTTGAATTTGGATTTCACGGTCTTCTTAAATGATTGCAGCCGTAATTTGTTTAGCCAAAGAGCGTGTTTTTCTATTGTTCTGGAGGCGATTTCTGGAAATTTATTCAGTGAGCTCTTGTCTGGTTTTATTACTGTGCAATGACATTTTTATGAACTGGAAGCCTTATTATACATTAGATTAGAGTTTGATAGAAACATTAGTAAGTGTAACGAATACCGAGATGATCCTTGACGTTGATCAGTAGTGTTAAATAAAACGACGACGCGCCCACGTCCCGCAATAAGCCGGGAGTGCACAGTTCTCGTACGTACTTGCTTTAATTAAAAGTTCGCGTCTAACGCCAATTACGGCGCAATTTATTTACTGAGTCATCGCAATCTCACCATCGACTCACGAAAGCGTCGCGCACCCGAACGTTTCTGAGCTGAAATTCAGCATTCCAGGTTCCTTTAAATGAAATGTCGTAGTCAAATAAACATTCAAGTACTTACTTTCGTCTACGTTTAGAGCGATGGCCGCTTTCCTAGCGTCCGCCGTGGACACGTCGTGCTCTACAAAGTACTCCTCGTAGCTGACTTCTACCTCGCTCTCCGCCCATGGCTGCGAGTCGTTCGTCTGGCTGCCGTTTGACTCTATGCCGACTCTCTTCTGCACCGACTCCGGCTGCACCTGCACCACCAAAAGTTACATATCCGGGAAGAATTATCCGCGAAACAGGGCGGAAGGGCGTGGGACTGACCATGACGGTGGGCACTCGGAAGATGACGTCAGCGCTGGCCGTAGCCAGCAGCGCCAGCGCGAGAGCCCGCATAAGCCACGCCCGCGACGCCACATGCATCCCATCGCACTCCACTATTCACAACTGTCGCCGCTGAAACGAATGACCCATTGGGTGAGCCAGTTATTAACAGTGCAAAGATTCCGTCTAAAGTCTCCACTTCCGTGTCTATTAGTGAGGGTAAAAATATAATCGGCCCTCACGGTCGAACGACTCCGCTTCTTGGAAGTAGAGGAGGGTCATTGAAAATATTTTATTTTATCGATGGTTTTAGGTTTCTCGCAACCTCGCCGACTCTATCGAGTGTACGCGTAACGCAAACTGATACAGTCCTCGACGACGTGCAATATACATAATTCGCGCTATCGACGAGGTTTCTCCCGTCAGACTTCAGGCAAAAATAGCAGGACTTTTTTATGATTAGAATTACGAGTTTTGTGACTCAATATTAGGTATATTACATAAATTAGATAGATGCGTTGGCGCATTGAATGCTAATAACTTAATAGGCGTAATCAGTAATCATCGTTCATTGTCTTGCGGTGGCGCGAACATTTCACACAGTATTTTTCATTGTTGCTATTTTATATACGATTGCACGATTAATAAAACGATAGATATTGGGACCGCTTTGGCATTTGGAGAGTGTGTCGGCATGCGATTCGTCGATAATGCGCGGTTAGTAGTCGCATCACGGCGCAAGCGCAGCGCTCGAAAGATGCGTTGTATTGCAATAAGAATAGAACCAGTTCAATATAAAAGTACTCCAAAAGGTCTACGTATTACGAATACAAGGCTGCCCTCCCTTTTAATTCCGAAGTAAGTTCCAAAAAAGGGGGTAAATAGTTAGTAAATATGTTAATCTTTTTGGCCTGAAGCGATAGGAGGGATATAATAATAATAAATTCCCTTTAAAGAACTTTTAATGCCATTTTACTACACGACATAAAATTAAATAAGCAACATCCCCTGATAAAAAGATAATATGTTTACTTACCTGAATTAATATAAAAGAGAGACTTAATAAAATTCAGCTCCTTCGCGAATGAATTCGTTATTATTTATTATCGTAATTCTTTTTTTCCTGAAAGTAGATATTTCCATTTTAAGGAAATGTAATGGCAAAAAATCGAGGGAAACTTTAAACATCGTAGCGAGGACTAACTAGTACATTTTTAGTGCGCAGTATTGAAAGGCGTCTTAAACGTTATGAAATCAAAAGTAAAAAAGACAGAGTTATATATTTAAACGCAAAAAATGCGGGATCACTTTTTTTTATATCGAGAATATTAGAGGAGTGCCGGCTTTGAGTCAGTATAAGTATTTAATACTACAATAATCCATCGGGCCTCAAAGTAAACGCTTTGTTGTTATTTATAGGGATCTCAACAATTTGATATAAAACTGAATCGATGGCCGACGATATTAGATTTACGACACGTTAACGGCTAGAGCGATTCCACCACTTATCCATCGGCCAAGGCCCTACAAAAATAATATTTTATTTACAAGCGATATAAAGCGAATTTTATACAGTTCTCGATAGTATATTCTTCAAGAATTCTCGCAACTCTTTCCTTCATTCATCCGACATAATAAGCTCAGTGAGCAAATGGGGCAGTCGAGTCGGATGCTCGTGAATTGAGAAACATTTCCGAGTAAATTGCAAAGCTCTATCCGAGAGCCAAATGCACACGATTACCTGTGACGAGCCGAACGCGACTGAAGGCATTTTAAAACAGTTCCGTTCTCAAGTAACCTTTAACTTGGCTAAAGAAATGAAGATTTTCTAAGCTTAAATAAGTTAAAAAGTTAGTTAGTTCTACAAATAAATATGTCTATTTGCTTATTTCAGCTAAGCAAATCTTCAACTAAACTTATTTGGTGCATAATGGTAGCAATGTTTAGCTTCTGATCAAAGCTCTCGGTCATGACTCCGATCACCAGGGGGTCAACATTTTTCTAATAAATTTACAATTCTTTTGATGCATTTAGACTTCGTATGGATCTAGATTATACTGGCTGATAAGAAGACACAAAAAGGCCGTGAAGTTTAGACGCGTTTCAGTTTTAGTGTGTGGATTTCAGACTACACAAAGGCAAAATAAGGAGACAGTTAATCGTTGTGTAGATGTTATATGGCTGGGCTATTACACCTTCCATCGAGTGCTTGTCTTCTCTCTATCATAAAAAAAAATTAGAACTAAGATATTTGACGAAAGCTGAAATTTAATATTCCTATCGCGCGTTAAACTCTGAGGAAATAGATAGTGTTTGTTTGTTAAGTTACGGCACTCGACAGATAAGCCGTTTCGCGTTACGCGCCCGACCGATGGCTCCAGCCAGTGTCACTAAGTATTCATTTAAAATTTAAATGCACTTAAATCGGCATCAGACACTGCAGAAGTTAAATTCATAGCCATAATAATAAAATAAATATTAGTACGATATAAAAAATGTAAGAGTTGTTAGATCTAAAAGAGATGGTTGCTCGCAGTAACTTTTCTGTTCAAAGCAAAATTTGTATATTCATATTTAATAGAAATTAATCTCAGGCAAATGTGAAGTATACAATGTTACGAAATTAAATAGGGTTTGTCGTAGCCGATTCGAAATGTCGCAGGTCATTGAACCCGTACACCCTAAGTCGTGGGGCTGAGGGCAGCAGGTGGATACGCGAAATCGGGTCACAACTGTGCGAGTGACGAATACGCGACGTTAAAACGATTATTTGAATTTCAACTAATGAAAAACTCCGAATGAATATTTAGCAATTGACTGTGTAACGCAAACGAGTCATCCTAACGTGAAACACAATAAAACAAACACATCATGTTTCTCACATTTACTTAGCTACCGTCAGAAAGACTCTGTTAAGAGGACCGACATAGTGTCTTCAATACAGTAGTTGAAAAGTAACTTTTTTTCGTCTTATCAAAATCAACTCACACATATATTATCGATACAGGAACCCATGCGCCCTATTATGAATTACGTCTAAATACGTACACGCGATGTGAGAGCACAGTGGCACATTGTCACCGCACCCACCGTCCTCTACGCTGGCGATACGGGAGCTTTTATTATCGGCTAAGTGGGTCACGATTATTATTGCTGCCTAGAAACGATCATACACATAGCACTGCGGCAGCTATGACGGAAATTATATTACCTGTTTGTACACGTATAGTGGTCGCCGTGTGTGTGTATTTAATATATACTCGTATATTGTAGAAGCGAAGACAGCTTGCGAATATCGGGAGTGTAAGAATCGTTGCGACCGTGTCGGAAACGGAAACTGACACGTCGCGTCGATCGTCCACAGGTGCGCCATCGCACAGTATTGAATATGCCTTTTATATGTGCTACCCGCTCGACGTCATTACATAATTAGTTGTATGTTCCACTTTTGTATAATGCGGCCCTTTATGCTTCTCATTTAACATTTTCATTTTCCTTTCTTATGAATTCGTTAAACGTGCTAGAGGAACTATTTACAATGCTTGTCTATATTAATGGATTTGAATGAGTCTGTTATTGTCGAAACGTTTAATGAAGGCTAGAATAATCTGCAATTTGTAACGGCGTGGAGAAGAGAACAGCCTAAACGAGCCAATTGCGAAAAGCTGCAATCTTCGGGGAATCGAGGATATCCTGCTCACGGCAATCGCGAGACGTGCCGCGGCTTCCATTACCTCCAACTCTTTATTGCGCTGATTAGTTAATTCATTAATCATCGTTTCCATTTATATCCGAGTAGACGCTTCAGAATTCTCATACACAACGAGATCGAAAGTGGAATGTCCCAAAAGAAAACCGTCGTAAACGGCCGGTATTTTCGCGTTGCCGGGTTCGCTTTTCGACTTACTTATTTATTTAGTGCGATGATGACGTATTAAGTTATAAATACAGGTTATTAAGAATAGTAATAAAATTGAGCACGAAAAACAAGTGGCCGTCAAATTAATACCCCGTGAATATTAATGGGTCGTTTCATTTTCATGAAATTGATGCAACGACACGCCCACCCATTGTTCATTAGAGGGGCAACGTCACGGCCATTTGGAAGCATCGATCTTTTATTTCTTTTCTAATCCAATCCGATATCCATTTTATAAATAAGATGTCGCCCACAATATTGAGTGGGTTTTTAAGTGCATTATATGCACTGGAACCTTTGTTTTGTAATCTTACCGCGTAACTTTCGTTGTGTATTATATTTACGAAAAATACGAATTTGCTTTCGACTGAGTCAGAATTGAAAGTACCGTTTCCCAACGTACGTCTTGTACAAACGGCGAACCTACAAAAAATCTCGCACAGAGGCAATGGGCAATGAATATTACGACTTCGTGAGAAAGCGTATCCTAATGGAAGGTGCACAAGTATGGTTTTGTCTCTATTGTGTGTTAATGAGCACTTCTACTTCGAACGACCGATAACGCTGAGCGGTCTATCGGTGGCGTTTTATTGATTGACAATTTAATTATAGCTTTGAATGCTTTCCGTTTCGCGCAACCTCGCGGTCGAGCAGAAAGGCTAAACCACGGTTTCATACTGTACTTCAACGTAACAAATGTAAACATCGCCGTGGTCCCAATTAATCACCGATCATTACCAAATGTTTCCCACCGTTGTTTAGAGTGTGGATTTTGTGACGCGACCACTTACGATAAGTAATATCGATGTGTCGACATTTGGATACGAGTACCTACTTAGGTATACAGGTGCTAAGTGGTTACACTTACAGGTCACGTGGAATCGGCCCGTCGCCACTGTCGCGGCGATAGATTATAAAGTATTTATGAATTCAGGTTATTTAACGAATGTGTTACTTTTATGTTAATTTTTGTAACCTCCATTACGATGGAAGTTTTAATAAAAACTAAAAATGTATTTCGTTCCGAATCTGCGAAACTATGAAGTGAAATAAATTGAAGATATTTTAATTTAAACTGCGGTTTCATTTTTGTTCAATACCTAACTTGACGGTAAGGCGTTTGACATTTACTTCTGCTTTGTCTAAGAGCAATAAAAATACATAATGGTTAAAGCAATCAATTAAACATCGAGTCACAGCATAATTAGGATCAGTGCCGAATTCCAAATAAGCGAATAGAGGATGGCCGCGATAGACTCGTTTTTACGGCTTTCGTTGCAGTGTCTTACAATTCTTAGACAAATAAGGCCCAATTTAATTCGATTGCTTTAGATTCCTCAGGGTTCACTTTTGTTCAAGTTTGACAAGACTATTTTAGTGACTTTGCAATCATATTTTCTTTGTTCAATTACGCAGTTCGGTTTTTATGGAGTCGGGCAGATTACTCCGTCCTCCGTGCCTACTGGAGCGTGAATTGGTAATCTCGAGCGCAGTTAACTTATAGTTCGGTCGCTGATACTTCGCACTTTCGTGTTAAAATTCAGAAAACAGGGTGCTTCGATCGGCGAAACCGTATCCCATTTGAGACTAGTTAAGTATTAGCACAAGGTTAAACGCGCCTAAGAGCCCTCCGCTCCGAGGGCACTCCATCATCGTAAACGTTTTTTCATCGCGTCGATTTTTTCAATATACCTAGACGATAGTGCGGTCGTACGAATTTATTTGACCTAAGTCTAAATCTGCCCTACGTGGATAAGCGGGTCGTTTTACCGCGTAGATGAATAGGCGCCACCCGGTCCCCGCTATTGAATTATGCGACTGTGAGAGCGGTCAATTATTATCGATAATTGAACGCATTTTAATTAAATCTCAATTGTATGGACGCGATTCAACTCGTCGTTTTCGCTTTATTATTCATCTGCGATCGTGTACTATGTATTATGCTCATTGATGTGATCATTTATGAAATGCCAAGTTTTTGTTTCTAAATTTAAATTTACACAACCTTAAAAAATTCTAAGCAAGCTTAAGTAACGAACTTTTAAGATATGTATCTAAATTTTTATTTTATTCCGTACACACGCAGTCTTTGTAGTACTAGGACTACTACTACGAGTACTAGAAGTTAGTTAATTAAAGCGATTAATATTTAAGGAATATTTAATCTAGTGCGATTTGTATAACAATCGATATGTAAGTGAATATTTAAATAGTATAAAATTTTAATTAAAAAAAAAAAATAGTACAGTAGTCACTCACACGTTCGACTCGACTCGTCGGCTGCCGTCCGCCGACGTCACGAAGTGTCGCTCGCGAACACACTTGCGCCTCGGTCGGCGGTTCGCAGCGAATGTGGTCGCCACTCGCCCGTCGCCGGCGAAGCAAACCGTAAACAACGCGAGTACGCGTGCGCTGCGCGGGGCTCTCGCTCGCTCACTGCAACTGACATCTCGCCCTAGACCGCGGGTCAGATGGACCTGTCATTTTTGCCCCCTAAGTGATGGTAATCCTGTAACTCGCACACAATTCGTAGAGCACGTAACCCAGACATTCGGTGAAAGAAAAAGTGTATTTTTCCTTAACTCTAATAACACTAAATTAAAAGTCTGGTTAATAATAATTCCTTTATTAATATCTTAATACAACGTTTTACTTACCCATAACTTAATTTCTAAATCAGTCTGACTGAACATTATCGAATGGTGAGTTTTTTTTTCAAGATCACGAGTCTCGATACCTGCGGAGCATTAAAATAATATTTGCCCCCGAAAGAAGTGAAGTAATCGTCAAAGGCGAGGCCAGCCTTGCGCAACCTTAATGTCATTTTCTAAACATTATTTCTATTCATGTGACTTTAAACGAAAAGTAGTGAAATAACAAGTTAATTATTCTACATTATTTTTTGTAAGGGCCACCAGTACAAGAGGGCTAAATGAAAAACGTTAGATTATTTCACAAGTTAAGTAAAAACACTAGAGTCCTTCACTGCGAGAAAATTAGTATTTTAATCGTTATTAGAATAAAAACTTCAATAAAATAATTAGACGACTTTTTGCGGTTGAAATACGAAATCATTGTTTAAATTAAATACCGTTGCCGTATTTAATAATTACAATGAGAGATCTAGAAGCAACTTCCACTAGCAGACCACACGCGTCCATCCGCACTTTTATGTATCCATGTCCGTGTCGCGATTGTCGTCCGCGAGGGAGGCGTACGTGTACTTGAGCAGATAATGCAGCCTCGGGTCAGAGACGATGTGCTTCAGGGTGGGCTGCTCCAAGATCTGCTCAAGGGGGGGCAATAAGCTCTCCACGTCAGCACCTACGGAAGACACAAGAAGAATTAATTTAACATTAATTACAGTTTTTCTTTGGCGTATTTACCCCGGTACATGGCTACTCCGATCGCACCTTTGTTTGTTTGTTGAAAAGGATCCATTTCTTGAACTGACCCTTGGTCTGAATATACAAACAAGATGTCGGTCTATTTTGTGTGCGGTGGTCCGAGCCGATACTGATACCCAGTCAGGGCTCCCTTGGTCTATCCGCAAGCTAGCCAAAACGTTAAAATTAAAGGCCCGAGGCCGCAAACGTAAAAATTATTAAAAGACCATCTTTATTTTGGCTTAGGATATTTGGAAATCGAGACCTGATCGGGATTTCCGATTTTCCTACCAGCCATTTAATGAAATTCAATATGTTTTGTATTATTTTAGCCACATCTTGCTGACGTTAGGCCGACGAGCTCGTCAAAAGTCTACATAGATCTGATGGATTTACTTTCGTAGGCTATTAACACATTGCGCTCCACTGTGAGCGGGTCGTACCCATGATGGTGAGCAGCTCCAGAAGGCGGTAGAAGACTGTCCCCTGCACGGCGGACTGCGGCTCGTCCACGCTCACGTGTCGCCACTCCTCGCGGGCGATGCATGCGCACCAGATCTAGTGAAAAAGAGAAACGAGTTCAAAGAAGCGCCGTCTACATACTGAACGATCTAGTAGTTTGTCAAAAAAAGACTCTGTAATGTAAAATAAATGGAGGACGATGACGAGACCGCACCTTGAGTTTGAGGTCGTCCCTGAGCTCGGGGTCGTCGACGAAGTCGGTGAGGTCGAGGGCTTTCTTGTAATCGTACTCGTTGAGGGTGGGCGTGTCGCAGTCGATGTACATCTGGAAAGGAATGTATGCACTACATTTCTAACGCCCATACGAGTAAGACGTTAAGACTTTCCATGTCCTTATTTACGCACTTGAACCAATTCCTCGGGGTCGCTTCTCCGCATGTCCTCCTGGTCTAGGTCGTAGTGGCGTTTGACGTCGCGCGGTAAGGCGTGGTGCTGCGCGCCGAGATTCACCGCGTCGTCCGCGCGCTGTATTTTGTCGCTGTGATCCGCCGCGGGCTCTTCGCTTGCGATGAGGCACAATTTGGCGAGAGACGCCATCGTCTGCGTTCATTAATGTGTGAATACCGTCCGCGCTCATAGTAGAAAAGGAAGCAAAATGTCGCCATCTATCGGCTCAATAAGCGAACAACATACCACCATCCTGTTAACGGATTCCCTTTCGTCGTCAGCCATGGAGAGCAGCGTATCTGCCGCCTGGTGGAGCGGCGGAGTGGCCAGCTGGTGCAGCGCGAGCAGCTCTCGTCGGTCCGGAGCGTTCGCCAGCCAGCGGGCGAGACGAGCGGGTCGGCGCGCTCCCAGACCTCGCAACAGCTCAGCTCGATCCGCACCGGAACGCGACGCCAGCCAAGCGAACGTCGTCTCGGCTATGCCCTGGAGATATGGACATGGACAGTAATAACTATAATGTATTTATCTTTTTTAACCTTTGTGGTAAACGGATAAACTTCCGTGACCGTGAACTTGATGTTGTATCAAACGTCTAGTTACATTATGCTCCTTCAAAAATAAGAAGCTAAAGTATTCATAATAGTACATTATGATATAAGTGCGGTAAGTTGAAAATTCCAGCCGAGGCGATATTACTATAGGGTGTTTTTGTTATAGATAAATGGTTGTAATTTATTGTGAAAATTAATTAAATTAAAGAATTAAATGTTTATTTGTTATATTTTATTTCCCAAAGTTAATTTTATTCATAAAATATTGACCACTTTCTTGACAAAAAACCTCTTTGCTAAGATTTTTAAAAGTATTGTTCATTTTTAGACGGTATATCTTAAAACTTCATTAAAAAAAAAAACACGTGCTTTTTACATAACATTATCGCACAAGTACGTAATGAGATACATTGAATACATATTGAAATTGGTGTAATTACAACCACTTTACGAGCAAATATGTTATTAAAAGAATTAATTACACGAGTCGCTCAGTACTTTTTTTTTTGCGAGCGACCGAATACTAATTATCTCTTCTTAAGCGGTTTTTGGAAAAACCTTTGCCTTCAGCTTGTGTTAAAATTAATAAATTTATACCAGTTACGTTTACAAACCGAAATCTATGCGAAAGGTGTTATTTAGGAGCTCCCGTCGGCTTCACCTTAGTAGAGGGATAGCCACAATAGGCACAACGAAATATTTTCAGGTTGAACGACCCTTATTCATTTCTTCGTGAACAAAACAGATTACAAATGTTGATTGTGTGTTATTGGTATATGCCTTTTTAATTGATTAAGGCTTGCTTGATAAATCTTTACCTCATGCTCATACTTGTCTATGTAAGAATAGAGCTTTTCGGGATCCGGACGCTCTCGCTGCGTGCACATCTCCACGATGAGCTCGAAGTCCTTGAACTTCTCCGCCAGAGCCGCAGCGCGCTCCGTTTGGCCCTCCGACACTGAATATCGTTCATGAATATCACAATGAACACAAAGCAGGGCACTATCTTTGCACATAATGAAAATGTGAGAAATGTCTCACCATATGGGTAAATCAGTTCCCTGCGAACGGTTCGAAACCGGTGTTCGGGCAGCGACAGCGCATCAGTCAGCAGCAGGTCAGCGAGAGCGGCGGACGCTTCCAAGACCTGAGCGCGTAAAGCTGCATCGCGGCAGTTGTGCGCAGATTCACTGTACCGACAGGACGAATCGTTATCACAATGCTCCGAATTAGGTATTAGTAAAAGACGGTTTTGACTCACGTAACGGCAGTCGTATGATATTTGACCAGGACGGGTAGTTCCGGGAAGGGTTCGCATTCCGTTTCACTCTCGCTCCAAGAAGACCACTGGGTTCGGACCTTCAGCATTTCACTTAGAATCGACTAGGAAACATAAAAAAAAATGGATTCCAAGACACGCACGATATAGCATTTCACTTAAATGTTTAGTTAATAGATACCGTGATAGCGACGAGGGCGCTGTGCGCGTGCGCAGCGGCCGCCTGCGCGTCGAGAGCTGGCGCCGGCAGCGTGGCCAACGCGCGCACCACTCGTAACATGCGCGTCACGCGGCGCAGCACCACGTCAGCAGCGGAAAGGGCGCCTGAGGACATGGCGCTCACAACCTCCGGCTCCTCCTCGGCTTCATATCTCGACGCCACCTGCACGACATCAACGAAACATTTTCAAATTTATTTATTGAAGTTTCGTTTGGCATAACAGTAGACAGTGATTTTGTTCTAAAAAATGCAGTTCACGAACAGTGAAAACATTTTATGCGAATGTAGTTAATGAACTCATCAACAACTGACTTGATGCATGGCAGCGTCAAGAAGTAAAGCGCCGTTGTGGTGCAGCCGCTGCACGGCGCGGGCCGCCGATAGCTTCTCCGCCAGCGAACACAGCGCGCGGACCGTGCGGACGCATCCGGTTCCGCTCTCTATAAGTGAATTTTACTATTACTACTATTCTTCCTTTATACGAATTTAGCACGTATTTTATATAATGCTTTTATATTTCAAACAGTGATATTGAAATGAATAATAATAACCTTTGCTAACGAGCGCGAGGCGTCGCCAGAGCTGATTCGCTCGCAGGAAGTCGAGGAAGAGCGTGAAGGCGCGGTGCTTGTCCCTAAGCTGGCCCGCCGCGTGCAGCGCGCCAGACGACCCCAGAGCGACGCGGCTCGCTCCCGTCGCAATGCGCCATCTGTTAGTTTATACGTATCATCATTTGACAGAATTATTTATTTAAATCATAATAAAAATTAAAAGCGAAAGTCGACGTCTCTTCGTTTACCTCGGGTCTCCAGCGGGCACGTCATCCAGCATCTCCGTAGCGATAGCGATCGTAGTGCGGTCGAGAGGAGCATCGACGTCAGAACCTGGTGCTCCGCCCCCTCTCACCGGAAAAAGCTCGGCTAAGATCTTCCCCGCAGTGGCGTCCCTTCGGATATGGAAGAGGAACGCAGCTTTCATTTTACCACACGCGTCCGTTGTTGTCGCCCCTATCTGGAAAGCACGTTGTCTATTCATATCGGCTCGAAGGAACTTTTCCGTTTATTGATTAGATATTACTTGGGTCATTAGGATTTTTGGAATATGTCTAACCTCGTGAGGGTCTATCTCGTACAGCGTGAGGTTACCGTCATACACGTCGGAGGGGGCAGGAGAACCCATCGGGCTGCCGGCGAAAGATCTGAAATTTAAATTTATTCGTCATTATTAAAACACAAACTTATTTTTTAAATTTTATATGACATATATCAAGAGAGGCATTCATCAAGTCCAAAATTCAAAGATGTTGTACATGCATGTATATATTCTTATCTATAATTTGCAGGGGACAAAATTTAAAAAAAATAATTTTGTGCTTGTATACTGAATGCAACTGACTGGTGCGCGTCAGAGTGATCCACGTGTGCGATGCGCAACGCGAGCAGCCCGTGCCTTCTGGTGAAGACCAGCGCTGCCGGTCCTCCGTCGACTGCGGCCGCACCTAGCACGCGGTCGCCTTCCGTACACACCTCCACACACTCCGCCTTTTCATTTTGAGATGACGCTGCGCAATAGATACATACAATGAAATGTGTTCATTTTCTTTATACCTTCATTTATAGGCTGATAAAATGTCAATGTATTACGTACGCGTTGCTGAGACGATAGCGATCGCAGCCGGTGTGTAGAGCAGGGCTCGAGTCCCTAGAGGTAAACACCGGGGCGGAACGTCGTCGCGGGCGCGGCCCCCAACGGGGCACAAACTCACTACACGCGGTGCTTCTGCCTTTTCCACGCTAATTTGAGCTGAAATAAATTAAATAACTATTATATTAGTAATATTAGTATACGTTTAGGTAGTTAAAGTTTATCATAAAACCGAAAAAACTAGTACTGGAAAAATCCAGCCACGGTTACACCGAACAGGTGGTATCTTTAACGTTTGGCTCGTCCTTCGTATAACCACTTCGTATTACGAATAAGGAACTACGACTCAAAATTGTTAAAAGTAGCACCTTTATGTATGTGTTAAGTCAAGTGTAGTTTCATTAGAGTCTCATTACTAAATTGTGTTCTACACTTATCGTTCAGTAAATATTATATTGTAATATTCTTTTAATCACAAAATCTGAACACTGAAAAGCTGCAAGAACTCAAAGTCAAAAATCATTTATTCATGTAGGTACACTTATAAACGTCATAAGACTTGAGAATCTAACTTTACGTATACGACCATTCAAACCATTCAGTCCTCAAAGCAAGGGCGTTATACGCCCTTGCTTTGAGGACTGCGAAACGAGCAGAATTGGCAAGAAACTCGCCGCCATTCTCCATATTGAAGTTATTCAGTTAGGTTTTGTAAACCAAACAATGTTAAAGTAATTATTTAAAGGAGGTAATAAAAGTTCGGCACAGTAACTCAAGTACCTAACTATAATAGACAATCTCACCGAGGGCATATCGAACGTCGTTAGGTCTCGCTTGGTTAATGGCGGAGACCATAACGAGCAGCAGCAGCAAGCGATCACCAGCAGGCTGAACGTCGAGAGCCACCACCTCCATTGTGCTCGGCTCGCCTGGAATTATTTTGCTCATTTAAGACTTTTTCTGTGCATTTAAACCACAAATAGTTTTAAATTCAGTTAAAGCTAAATGTTGCAACAAATATGCTTTTGATTTCGCCCGAGTATATTTTAGACCAGCAGACGCGGCAAACGTCGTCGTGCCCCGCTGGCTAGGCTAAAATAAAAGTCTGCTCGGCTAGGCTAGTAGTCCTGGAAATGCATGGTTTTTCAATTTATAAATCTATTGAATGTAATAGCCCCATTGAACAGCTAAAAAGTACTATGGTATGTTCAAAAGTGGCACAGTAATTTTTGAGTTTATATACACAAATAACAAAGGAATGTGCAAAGAAAACTACGAATCTACCTCATACCTTTTATCAAAGGTATTTATTGTTCTTTCAGTACCAAAAACAAAGATAGAAATGGTTCATTCTCAGTTATATGAATTTCTAAGAGTTTAAACTTAGTTTAAGAAAAATAAATGTTGCCTAAACATGCCTCAATTTATACATGTATGTAAGAACGCACTACAAGCTCACCATGAGGAGCTAAATGCGCCCTTGCAGCAGCTTCAAGAAGCAGTCTTCGCAAATGATGTTCATGAAGTGCTGATCCACACCACATTTGCAGTAAAGGTCCACCTGCCAGTAGGCATACTAATTCAGAGCTCTCTTCCTCCGGATCGGTTGGCACCACAGCAGGAAGAATCACGACACCCACAAGCTTCTGGAAGATTACAAGTTGAATAAGCATAAGATAAGAAACTCATTAATACTTAACAATCTGACCCAAAGTACTAACTGTATCAGCGTGAGCGGGCATAGAACCGAAGAAAAGAAGCGAGACACGACGTCCAATCCCACCGAGCCATCCACTAGGAGGCCTAAGCGTTTGACAGCTCACTGACGGTCTACCCTCTGTAAATAATTTTTAAATTATGTATTTCAAATGTACTCCCAAATCTCATACTGACTAATAAGACTTTTTGGCAGAACATATTACATCTGTGTAGTTCGCCAGTTTCAATAAAAGCATTCAGTCCATATCTCTAACATCTATTGACACCATTGTATACGTACCTTTGGAAGTTGTAATTCTAATGAGTGTGCAAGTAGTTGTGGCGAGCAGCAGGGATCCAACAGTAACTTCTGGACAGTAAACTCTGGTAACCAATCGGTCACACTCCTGTCCTGCCAGTTCACAGCTTACTTCACTGTATGCGCCCTCTTGACCCACAGAAGCCCAGTACCTGACAACGCCTTCAGGTGAGACTCCAACACAAGATGGCATAGTCTGAAAAAAAATATAGCACATATTTAAAACTATTATTAATTATCAAGCAATAGGTACAATAACTTTGGATCACATAATAAAATTATGCCAATGTAAGACGAGTTGAATTGTGCAAAATTGCTATCATGCACTTTGGCCATCCCATAGATTCACCTTGATTACAAAAACATTTGGGCAGGAACCATTCATTAAGGTGCTTTTTAGCCCTGGCACAAAGTTATCCAAATTAAAAAAAAATGTTGGTAATCTGTTGGAGTAAGATCTAGAGGGTATGCTATAAACATTCCAACTGAAGTTTTTCTGATTAAATAAAAATAAAACGAGGGTACTTCATAATGAAAAGGTTACCCAATCATTGATTATCCTTAAAGCTCTTAATTGTTACCTGTTCATTATTTTCATAAAAGACGGCTACGAGATCTGCCTTGTGGGCTAAGTCAGTTTGAGGTAGAGTTAGCTCACGGGCAGATGTAGGGCCTGAAGAGCCTGTTATTTCTCTTGGCCAGGCCAGCACTCTACGTCCCGTCACTATCCAGCACCACCCACAAGGTGACATATGGACACTAAGATCACCGCTACCTACAATATATGGAAACAATCTTTTAATATTTTTATTAATCGCTCAGGTTTCATAGTTTCCTATTTGGTAGAGCGATTGATTCCAAAAAATGACAAAAGGCCAAATGTTTACCAGTCGGATTCTTTTTTGTTATTGTTATTTTTACAGACAAAAATAGTAGATTTATAAAAAGTCACAAAAACGCATTAGTAATAAAGCTTATTAGTTAAAGTGATGAAATGTGATATTTGATCAATTGGTTAGATTACTAGGTCTTCGGAAACCCTGTAAGATGTAAGTGTGTTTAACCTTAACAAGTTAAGCAATTAGGCGAAAGACGTTTCGAACTTCAAAAAAATATACATATTAACTTTACTACTAAACTTGGCAGACAAATTAGATAAGACGTTTACCAAATGTAAGAGCCTCCGTGACCATGACTGGGAGAGGCATGCCGTAGGTTTCCAGTGTGCTATTAGTAGTTTTGTAAATGACATCGCCAGTTTGCTGTTGGGAGTCATACTTGCTGTAACTGTAACATGAGAAGACAAAGAGTAGTAGGAAATGGTAAAGGTGTAATGCTTCATCTAGGTTAAGTGGTTGACGACTACGCACCTTTGGGTCTTCTTTTGTGATGATAATCCGAGCGCCCTTCTACCAGAAATAGATTGCCTTACACGAGGAGAGAATGGACTTCTCATTCCACCGGTACTGGTATAGTCCATATTTATTTCTATACCAATTTAAATAGTTAAAAATAAGGTAATGACAAAAATAAAAAGGTAAAGAAAAATAAAAAAATTTAACTAGCCGCCACCCGCCTATTTTATTGATCGTTAACGGTTTATTGTCAAATTTGATAGTTTACTTGTCTCTTTTTTTATTACATGAATTGGAACCTAGCTTATTGGCAATAAGGTAAGGTTTGTTGACATAATATTATTGTTATATTATACTTAAATAATAGCTTTATATTTACATCCAAATTTAAGACGGCAGAAAAATCTTTCCACGGCAGGTAAAATCGTTTAATAAAGTATTTTTGTGTACGTTTGAAAGTGAAAGTAACGAAATTGTAAACTGTCATATCCATAAACTTAAGATCAAATTGTGGTTGTCAAACTTAAAAATTCATATAACGGCGCGTTTAAAGAAATTGGTGGACATTCATCAACAAACAAATGGAAACATTTACCTTTGAATCTAATACATAGTTTAAAATGTACATTAAATCTATAGTGCTCGACGGTTTCAAATCGTACGGAAACAGGGTCGAAGTGACTAGCTTCGATCCAGAATTCAATGCTATAACGGGTTTAAATGGAACCGGCAAGTCTAATATTCTGGATTCAATATGTTTTGTATTAGGGATAACAAATTTGTCGAATGTAAGTTAGAAAATAATAACCAAAGAAGTCGAAAGTATAACGGCCACATTTAGAAGATATATCATTACGGCACTAAAGAGAACTAATGTTTATAACATTGTTTTATAGGTGAGAGCTGGAAGCCTGCAGGAGCTGATTTATAAACATGGTCAGGCTGGTATCACAAAGGCCACAGTTAGCATAACTTTTGACAACAAAAATAAACAGCAAAGCCCTATCGGTTATGAAAACCATGATGAAATCACTGTCACCAGACAGGTTTGTAATGTTTAAATTTGCACAATATCACTATTACTGCCTAAAATTATAGTTGTTCAGCAATTAATCTCTTAATATATGATCATTTCAGGTGGTTATGGGCGGTAAAAACAAGTATTTGATCAATGGTATCAATGTACAAAACAAGCGAGTATCAGATTTATTTTGTTCGGTTCAGCTCAATGTCAACAATCCTCACTTCCTTATCATGCAGGGTAGGATCACCAAAGTCCTTAATATGAAACCACCAGAGGTAAGTCAAAAAGATATGTGTGCTGTTCATTCAAAATCTTTAAACATGGTTTGTAAATAAATCTGTGCTCTTTTTAGTAGGAGTGTTATTAGGATGCAAGATAACCACAAATATTTTTAACAACATCAAATGTCTACTATGTCAAGAATGAATTAAAATTGTGTAAACTTTCTGTACTTGCAGTGAATAAACAAACATATTGGTACTATAGATATTTCATTTTAGATATTATCAATGGTGGAAGAAGCAGCAGGCACAAGAATGTATGAGACTAAAAAGCAAGGGGCTCAGAAAACTATTGAAAAGAAAGAAGCCAAACTTAATGAACTAAATGATGTTTGTATATGATTCTCTTCTATTTGGAGTATAACATTTACCCGAGTATGGTGTAATATCTGATAAAGTAAATTGTATGCTACGGTAGAATGAGTTTTAAGGTCTCAGAATTATGAGCAATTAAAGATAACATTTAATTTATAGATTATAACTTTACAGAACAATTATGGCTATGGCACTTTTACATTACCTTGTTTAAATTTTCAGATAATCCGTGAGGATATTGCACCTAAGCTGCAGAAATTGCAAGATGAACGCTCCCAGTTCCAAGAGTACCAGAAGGTAGTCAGAGAGCTGGAAAATCTAACACGCCTTCATGTTGCTTGGCAGTACGTTATTTTAATTTATAAAAATACAGTTGGGTCCACTTGTGCAGGAGTGACTGATTTTCAGGGATTCAAAATAACATTATTCAAAATTTTAATAATAATATTTGGGTGAAATGGTCAACATAGTGTTTGGTTTGATCATGGAATTTAATTAGTGTTCCAAACATTGCCAATGATCTTTCCTTACTAAATAATAACTACACTACATAAACCTGAAATGTTGTAAATATGCACATCACTGAAAAGATATTTTTATCAGATATGTAACAGCCGAGCAGAATGTAAAAGAAGCCAACAAGAAGGTGACTGAAGTAAAGAATGAGATAAACAACAAGAATGAGCAAATAGAAGGCAACATTGCAAAGGCAAAGCAGATTGATGATGAGGTCACTGAACTTAATCGAAAACTGGACGAGGTACAGTACAGATGTTTTGTACTGAGCAAAACATTATCAATATTGTTAAAAAATCTTTTTGGCTTCCAAAATTTTTGGATTTAAATGGTTTCTAAGAATGTAATAAGGGGTTTTTTCCAGGAGAGTGGCAACGTGTTGAAACAGTTTGAGAGCGAGTTGCACGCGGCTGAGAAAGCCGATGCGACTGCTGCTGCAGCTCATCGAGCAGCTAAAGATGCCGTGACAGCCATCGAAGCAAAGGCTAAGCTTTTAAGGCGGGCTCTCGCGGACGACAGCACGGCTTTGGCGGACAAACGAGCTGTGCTCGCACAGGTGACTATAACGCTTCAATTATTAGTTGTTCAACGTGCACGTTTCCATCAAAGCATAATCATTCATTGCATATTCCAACAGGCATCTTCAACGTTTGAAAATCTTCGTAGCGCTAGTGAAGCTCAAACAAAAGCCCTCGCAGATGCGCAGGCTCAGTTTCTCGCCGTGAGCACGGGGCAGGAAGACGCTGCGGACTCGCTGCAGCATCAGTTGATGGGTAAGCGCTGCGCCCTACAATTGAATTATAAATAAATAGGATTTTGACTGACGTGATTATAATTTCCTTACAGCTGCCAAGCAAGAATCATCGGAGGCGTCAACCCGCATCTGTCAAAGCATGATGGAGAAAAAACACGCGGAGGAACGTCTGAGGACCCTGGAGCGAGAGTTCAGCTCTAGCAGCGCGCAGCATCAACGAGACCTTCACACCATTAATGACCAGCAGGCGGAAGTCGACCGTCTGCAGGTAACGCTTTACTTATAAAATTATCCGTGACGGTATTGAGGAAATCTTTATAATCTTGAATAAATAAGGCATTAAACTCCAGATATAATGCTACTGATGACTTTTTCTGTCTGCAAACAGAGGCAAGTGGCAGAGATGTGTTTTAACGAAACGCGCACAGGCGAGTTAAAGCAGAGGGCGCGTACGCTACAGGGCTCTCTGCGAGCTGCTCGCGACCGCACCGATCAGCTCAGCTCGCGGCTGCAACGCTGCAACTTTCACTATACGCCACCGCAGCCCAACTTCGACCCCGATAGGGTTGCTGGTAATACTCTCATTGAAATGCACAAACTTTATAAGTCACTATTTACGTCCAATGTATGCCTTAACAAATATTCCTTTGGATATCAAAATAGCATCAATTTCAGGACCGGTGTGTAGACTGATTGACGTGGTGCATAATAAATACTGTATGGCGCTCGAGACTGCGGCCGGGGGCCGGGTGAGTTATTATTGAATCAAATTTATGTTATCTGTTTAAAAAACTTGTCACATAAGCAACATTTGCAAAATCTTATTAAATCCCATTGTAAAGACAAAACTTTTATCCATGTCTATTTGATTTCATTTCCTTCTATTTGAAAGTTTTAACTCACTTTTTGAAGTTAAGAGTTCCTCCTTCTTATCCTACATGTCTTTATGAAAACTGAGTTGTCGTTGCTTTCAACTTTTCCATCGATGTAATTTAAATTTCAGTTATACAACGTAGTGGTGGATACGGACGTCACCAGTAAACTCTTGCTGCAGCGGGGCCAGCTGCAAACACGTACCACCATCATCCCTCTTAACAAGATCTCGTCGCATCGCCTCGACCCCGAGACCGTGCGCCTCGCCCAGCAGATCGTGTGTATACCTGTATTATCATTTATCGCTCGTAGATCTATTGAAGATTCACTTACAAGCGAAATCTTTCAGGGAGGCGGCCCCGACAAAGTGCAGTTGGCTCTCGATCTCGTGAAGTTTTCGCCGCGAGTGCGCGCCGCCATGAATTGGGTGTTCGGAAGTACGCTCGTATGTGCAGACCTGGACACCGCCAAGCGGGTTACTTTTCACCCGCAGGTGCGCACGCGCTGCGTCACGCTCGATGGTGACGTGTTCGATCCTTCGGGAACACTTTCCGGAGGAGCAGCAGCCAAGGTGCTCGATCTCAACATTAATGTGTATTAAACTCAGAATAAAAGAAAATAACATGAGAACTAATTACAGGGTGGTTCTGTCCTGTTAATGTTGAGCGAGCTAAAGGAAGTAGAGCAACAGCTCTTGGAGCTAGAATCGGAGCACTCGCAGTGCAGCGCAGAGCTTACTTCCATGCAAGCCGCTCAGGACAAGTACAACGCTCTTCAGCAAAAGTAATGATATTCACGTTGCGAAATATTTTTACTTGGATTGATTTTTAAGATACAAATAATTTTTATTTACAGATTAGAGATGTCACGGCACGCGCTCGAGGTGGCTCGAACGCGTGTAGCCGCTACTGCGCACGCGCAGCTCCACGCCGAAATCGAGTCTCTTAGGGAACAAGTGAAGGAGTTGAGCGCAGCACTGGAGCGAGACAATAAGATTCAAAACGAGGCGGCCTCCCGAGCCAAAGAACTCGAGACTAAGGTGAAAGATATCAAGGTATACAGAGAGAGGGAGTACAAGAGAGCGGAACAAAATCTAAAGAAAGCGAAACAGGAAGCAGAGAAACACAACGACCAGTGGAAGAGTCGAGAGCAGGAGTTCGAGGCCCTGCGTTTGGAGGTACAAGAATTAGAAAATGCCGTGACCGCTGCAGAGAAACAGTTGCAAGAGGCGACAGAAACGACCGCCGGCCTCGTCGAGTCTCTGCAGAGCGCCGAGCGAGATCACAGCGACACTATGGAGGCCGTGAAGCAGCTGCAAGGACGGATTAAGAAGCAGAAGGCGGACATCGCTAGTCGGAGCACCGAAGTCGCAAAACTTGCGCAAAAGAAAGATAAGCTCGTGAAGGGTAACAGCGAGATCGAGCTGAAAATCAAAGAGCTGGAATACAAGATTAAGGAGCTCGAGACCGAGGCGGGCAACTGCGACAAACGGATCAAGGCACTCGAGAAAGAGCACACTTGGATCGCCGTTGAGAGGCAGTACTTCGGGGCCGCCGGGGGCCTCTACGACTTCAGCTCGCGCTCGGCCGACGTGACCGCGCAGAGCGTGGTTCAGCTGCGCGAGAGGCGCGATCGACTCGCGAGAGGGCTCAACACCCGCGCCCACATGCTGCTCGGCAGCGAGGAACAGCAGTACCAGGAGGTGCTGCGCAAGAAGCAGGTGGTCGAGCAGGACCGCAAGAAGCTCGTTGAGGTGATGGCCGAGCTCGACGAGAAAAAGCGGCGCACCCTCGTGACCGCATGCGAGCAAGTGAACCGCGACTTCGCGTCCATATTCAGCACGCTGCTACCGGGAGCGCAGGCGCAGCTGAGGCCGCCGCCCGGCGCGACGGTGCTCGACGGGCTCGAGGTGCGCGTCGGCTTCAACGGCACGTGGAAGGAGTCGCTGAGCGAGCTGAGCGGCGGCCAGAGGTCGCTGGTGGCGCTGTCGCTCGTGCTGGCGATGCTGATGTTCAAGCCGGCGCCGCTCTACATCCTCGACGAGGTGGACGCAGCGCTAGATCTCTCGCACACGCAAAACATCGGCGTCATGCTCAAGGAACACTTCGCGCACTCGCAGTTTGTAGTCGTGTCGCTCAAGGACGGCATGTTCAACAACGCCAACGTGCTGTTCCGCACTCGCTTCGTCGACGGCATGTCCTCGGTGCAGCGCACGGTCAACCAGCGCCGGTGAAAGGCGGCGCTGCTTTTGGGTTCATTAAATGTATATTATTGAGATACTGTGTGTTTTCATTACCGACTATCGTAATTGTTTTTTACATTTCAGTGTTGTCTTAACTTATTATGTTATTATTGTATGAGAGATATAGTTATAATAGATGAAAACAATAAGATATAAAATGTTAGAGAAGGTTCAGAAAAAGTATCTCAGAAATCTGTATAAACAAATTAATTGTTATTATCCTTACCTCTATCCTACAAAGTTCCTTTTGGGGTCCTTAGGATACAATTCTCTCGAAAGAAGAAGAGAAATTGCGTCATTTAAGTTTGCAATAAATATTTTAAGGGGGAGAACGGATTCAATCCAATTACTCCCTTGTCTACTGCGGCATTATGCTCCTGACAAATACATTCGGTCTCGTGGGCATCAAGTTTTGGCCGAAATGCGATCGCGTACAACTCTACGCCAGCAATCACATATACCGCGCATGATATCACTGCTCAACAAATTTCTTAATTCTGCGCCAGAATGTGACATATTTGCGTCAGGATTGGAAAAGTTAGGAGATGAATGCATGCGATTCTTAGATATAGATTATTAGCTATAAGTTAGTCTTAAGGCAAATGGCAATAGCTGTGATTAAATAAATAAAAATTTTACAAGTTAAACATTGATTAAAAAGGAGAGGTGGTAAGTTTCTGAATTGTATTTACGTAATTATCCGCGGGGAATACAAAATTATCTACTAACCACAATTCCGCTTTATTGATCGATGCTATAAGTATCTTATTCACTAGCATCGGAGTTTAATGATGCAAAGGTTGCCCTGAGACGATTCATTTATTAGTTAAAATCACGAAAAGATACAGAAATGTAAAAGACTAAGTAGTGAAGAAGCAATACTTTAGGAATTCCAGATTGGCGTGAAATGCGATTTTATTAGTCTTAAGGTTGCTCGTGTAGGGCGCATTAATGTGTCAGGAATCGTAAAGCTAAAGCCGAGAGCGGCATAACGTGGCATTGAGCTCCGACCGTGCATCTCCTTTTAATAATTTTATTAGTCGAGCCGTTAACGTCGGCCAGACTCACAATCACGATAGACTTTCCCGGTTGTGTACGTAACCCTTACCGTCAACCAAAAACTCAACTTAAACATTTCAATAGAACGATTTGATAAACCCTCAGTCGACGGTAAAAAATGCGGTCGTCAATCAAGTCTATTCTGCGCACGGTGGACCCTCATATTTTATCCCTCACTATAATTTTATGAGCGAACAGCGGTGGTGAATAGTTAGCCTATGTATTTTCCCATGAGTGGAGGGACAACAGCAAGTATTTTCATGGGCTCGATGGTGTAATGGTAGCAAACGTACGGCTAATAATCTACTGTGGACATTTTTCCTAATCAATTTATAATTTCTAAAACACGTCGGACTTCGTCTGTAAATCTGGATATTAAATAGGTAACCGGCTACACATGAAAAAGATGAAGTTAAATGACGTTTCGTTTTCGGTCTGGATTTCCGAAGATCCATAGAAAAAAAAGGGCCATAACGCATCTTGTTTAGCTGCAGGAAAGTTCGCTAACAGCGCGTTAATGCTGGGTAGAGAATTTCATTTCGCTTAGGTTTGTATCGTGAAAACATGAAAATACTCAGATTTTTGTGCAAACGGTTTGAAAGGTGTCAGTGTGCTTATTTACTTCGCGTAATAAGTAGACACCACATTAGTTATAAAGTATACGTATGGCTAATAAAATGGCAAAAAAACACTTAATTTCTGAAGCTGGTCAGCTTTAACGCGCTTAGTGGTTTATTCGAACAGTACATATATCAAATGATTGTGCTGCTGAATGGCGATTTTTCACGTAGGCGGAGTCGTGGCCGAAAGCTATTAATGCAGGAGGCCGGAGTATTAGTATTAAGATTTGTTACAGACATTCATCTGTTTGGGATTATGAAGAAGTCTCGTTGTATTCTCCCTTAAATGGTTTTGCAGATGGAAATCGGATGTATTAAACAAAAATACCGCCAATAAAACGAATCGACAGCGTGTTAGAACGAAAATCCTTCGTTTAATAACGAGCAATGAGTAGAAAAATGCGGGATTAATATTCACATAACATGAAATAGCGGGCTCTCGGAACGTTTTAATTATAAATTCCTTATGTTCGGTTCGACGAGCACTTTTATTTTTATGGCTTTATTTATACCTGGCTTCGTGGTCGTAATTCAGTAGTATTTTATGTCAAAGCTGTGGTTCGAACGAGTGCTGCTAAAATGTGTAGCCTTCCCGATGATTAATATTCTAATATTCCGTGAGTCCACTCGATATAAGACTAACGACATAGGCCGAGCTCGATTGAAATAAAATGTAATCGAATGGATAATATTCGGGCGTTCGGTAAATCAACAACGCGAATAATACTTCGACGAGCCATAAACAATATTTATTCGGTGGAAGTATTAAAATACATCCTTAAAGCGCGGACGCTCGCGACGAAGTGGAAATTAAAAATGCAAATTGTTCCGCAGTGCAGTGCAGCCTGGGTTCGGGGATTTTCGCCGCACTCGACGACATTTTCGATTCTGGCGTGGACCTGTCGCGGTATGGGGGCGGCAGACGACAGCGGGTCACCAATCCTCCGCCGCATAAGCTGAAGTGAGCGTTGATCTTTAGTGATTTATATCTTCGAAGAAACCTTCGTACGGCCAGTGAGGCAAAGGGCTCGAAGCGAGGCTTTAGTTGATGAATGTAACGAGTAAGCTCTTTTCAGGCATCCGCGTCACAACCAACATAAGGGAGAGAAGAGCGAGCCGAACTATGGTTACGAACCGTACTGGGAGGGCTACGATAACCTTCTGAAAAAGAAGAAGAAGGTGACGGGGAGCAATGTGGCCTGCGGGGAAGAGTGCCACGAGATGTACCTGGAGTGAGTTTGCGGTAGAGTCAAATCGGGTAGTAAGGACTACGTAATCTACAGACGATAAAGACGTAGTGACGTGTCGCAGGTACGGACCGGTGTGCGGCAGAGGCAAGAATTACATGCATAAGACATTTCAAAACTATTGCCAGCTTCTGAATCAGGATTGTAGCGGTCGGGAGAGTGCGTATTCGTTAACCGATAGGACTAAGTCTGTTCATTTTTAAAGTTCGCTTATCTGAACGCTTTTAATAATAATTACACTAGCTTACTTCTATTTTAAATTAGAGGGGAAACAGGGCACCAGGTGTCACCGATTTACCACCCTGCTAAATAGCGGTTCCACTTTTACAGAGTGGATGATCGCATACCGAGGGCCGTGCGAGAAGGTCACACATAAGCCGTATCCGACGAGGCAGAGGGATTTCATCAAACACGCCAAGATGTATCTGACGGACTTCGAAAAGAATAACCCGGTGACCGAGAAATTAAGATTCATTCGCACAACGAGGCCCGGGAGAAAACGGAAATCCCCCCCACCCCCCATGCAGGACCCATAGATATAGTACTTTCTACACGCATAAAGATTCAATCGACTCCACTATTATATTGTTTTCGAGAATTGTTTATCCGTAAAAAGCTGATTATTCCAATGTTGTGAAATATAAGAAAGTTACGTCGGCGAATGCTCGGAGCGAGTTATTGGATAATTTTAATTAGTATTTGCAGTAATGTCCAGAGAACTCTCACTTCTTGCGATGTCGTGTTAGTATTTCATTTATGTGCCTATTGTTCGACGAAAATATAATGATAAGTGTAATAAAAACAATTATCTAAGCTTTTTCTGTAACATAAAAGAGGATAGATATGTAATCATATAGGAGATCGTATTAAACCTACATAATAAAAGCGAAACGCGATAAAACTTCACGGCTTTTCTTCCGACCGGGACGGAATTTGAATATTCTTTCTACTTCTTTAATATCTAGAAGTCCAACAGAAAAATCATAAATTGATTAGAAACATGTTACTACCGGCCGGACCCGTTGATCATTAGACATACATTTATGGCGACTAGAAATAATTGACTCGCGTTTTATTGGATTTTAGTCGTAAATGTATTACTTGAGTTTTACCGCGTGACGATTTGATTTCTGCTGTAATTTAGTAGAGAAACTTTTCAAATTGTTGGGACCATGTTTAAAATTTTCATGCAGCTTACAACACGATTTGTTTTATTCTTTAAAGTTGAGGAATACTTTCGTCGTTATAGTGGTAAGTTTTTCAAAGTGCCTTTTGGGGATGGAAAATGTTTCACGAAACTTGTACATTATTTATGTTTTTGTTACAGCGTGGTGGCTTTGGTGGCAACTGGCCACTTATCCAGAAAGGGCTACGACTGCAGAGATAAACAAACAGAAGTAGAGTATACGTTTCCAAAAAAGCTATATCTGGCCTCGAACTAACTGTAACTACGTTGTACTCGTAGCTTGACAGTGTATAGACATGAACAACGGAAAGATTAAGTTTTAAATTAAACACTTTAACGGTTTAAAACGCGATATATTTTAGTTAAACTTATTTGAGATTTTTTTAAACTATTTTAGATTATTTATATTAGATTCTTTGCAGCAGCCATGGTCACCGGGGGAACTCGAAACGTCGGGACGTAGTTAAAAATAACTCTCAAACAAGTTTAACTAAAATATATCGCGTTTTAAACCGTTAAAGTGTTTTATTTACATGTGTACTACTCGCGTAAAATACAGACATTGAGATTGAGTTTTGTCATATCTCTTTAACATGTTCGAACGCCTAAACTTATAAATACGAGTAAATAATAATTTTAATAATCTAAGTAACTCTGTTCAAGTTCTCATAAACCCAAGCTTCATAGATGTGGGCAATGGGCATGCATCTCACTTAAAATAAAACTGCATTATCTGATTCTTGAAAAAAATGTTAAGTCGTGCGTTAAGTTTATTATATAAATGAATAATTTAGAGCACACGGCTGGACTATGACGAATAAAAAGTTGACGATGCGATAATGACGATCTACTACCATTTTAGGGAATTCAAAAAATGGGTAAAGGAACATTTCGGACCTTTGGAAAAAGACTACAACCCTCACCATGGCTTTGAGCCTTATTGGCCGGGCGGCGACTGGCTATTCAAGGATCCCGAGCTACCTCCGCACGAGACCACCACCAAAGTCCCTCTCGTCTGCGGAGAAGAGTGCAACTACCTCTACACCAGGTACGTCTTAGCAGTAAGGACCTTCTTCATAGAAGAACATATTACCATATATTACAGTGATTACATATTGGGTAGGTATAATCAAAACTAAAAGTTAATTCAAGAAGACAAAGGTATGAAAACATTAATATTTTTCACATGTTATTGCACATGAAGGCACTATATAATTTAAAAATCGAAAATAAATTGAAAAAATTTTCGCTGACTCGGTAGCTCAATTGGAGAGCAACAGCACGGAAAGCTGACGATGCCGGTTCAAGTTCTGCCCGAGTCGAAATTTTTTTCAATTTATTTTCGATTTTTAAATTAAGACAAAGGTAATTATTTCGTTACTTAGACACTTGTCAAATCAAACTCAACCGCTTTGTATTTATATTTAGTTCGTTGATAATTTTTGTATTGCTTACTAATCATATGCCCAATTTAGCTATGTCTGACGAATTGTAGACAATCAAAGTTCTTACGTTTCTTAAAAGTCATCTTCTAGCATGGTGAGTGACTTGAATTGCATTGTTTTAACGGAGTGGCAAATGCAGAATAGGGAAGGTGTGCGGGCGCCAAGTGAGCAATGCAGAACACCACGTCTGCGTGACTTTCTTCGGCCTGTTCTGCATCACGCCTCCGTACGACGAGTTCCATCGCGGCTTCTACACGTTCGACACCTATTGCAAGTTTCTGGACGCCCAGTGCCGCACTACGATCGGCGAACGTCAGTACTATTCTATGTATTTTGCAGTATTCGTTTTTTGATATTGTGACATTTTACATTGCATTTCATGCCATCGCCGAAGAGTTTAGAACCTAATTTATTTAATTTGCGATCAGCTCAAATAAGACAATTGCTGTCTCCCTCAGGTTGGATCTTAGTACACGAGGGCGAGTGCCATAACAACCTCGACCCTTACTTCAGACCCATTAACAACACGAAACAGCCAAGGCAGAGGTTGTCGACATACTTCAAAAACTTGTCCATGAGGTTCAAGGATGCCGATCTCCCGCCCCCTCTTCGACAGGGGGTCGCTATGCCACTCGATCGTTTAGGTCCACCCCCCGACTTACAAGAGCTTCTCCAGCCCGAGGACCTGGCCGCTCGTTACCCGAACACCGCGGCGGGGACGATGGCTCTGCCCTACACGGTCAAGCAACACATACGCAATTTCATGAAGAATCTTATGTTTGGAAATTCTGGCGATTAGTTTACAAATAAATGACAAGTGCTTTTGTGAGTTTTTCGAAAGTCAAAGTTACTAGAAAGTAAGTATGGCTTAGAATTAAGGCGTTGCCTCGTGTGCGTGCCTTTCCTCTCATTTATCGCCAAATGTATGAAAAGGTTCGCATAATGGGCTTACTAAAAATAATTTTCTCTTTTGTTAAGAAGGGAGAAATGGTGGCTCATTAGTCGAGTGGTTATCGGCGGCGAGAAGTACATGCGGGCCAATTTATTACCTCCCGTGAATCATCACCATCAATTCGTATGCGGATTTGGGTCAATATTCCTCTTCTGTTTAGGAAAACATTATGAATACTGCAAGAATATAAGTAATATTCACCTAATAAGCTATATACCTATACAGAGAAAAATGTTGTGATAATTACTTTAAGTAATGCTGTTACTTCAAATAAATCTTCAAATATTATCCTCACACTAGAGACCCCCGGTTCTTGAGTTAAGTAAAGTCTTTTAAAACTCATCTCCTGTGAATGAGAAGTCCCGTGGTCTAAATTTTAACGTTGATAGGTTCACATAAATAAACTTACGAGTAAATGAGGTGAAATAAAATAAAACAAAGTGCACGGTGTTAGCGGCACTCCAAACTGAAATATACGATCATTCGCTGTCAAAGTTGCAGGTTATAGTCTATGAAAGGGAAGAAACCTTTATCGAAACAAAACCGTCTATAAGTCGAAACAGAACATATTAAAATCTACTCAATTTGAAGGCAGGAGGGTCGAGTTTTAAATGGAGGAATTCTCTGTAAGAACGTAGGTTTATGGGCGAATCCAACAGCCGTGAAATGCATCGCCGACACAAAGTAGACTGAGGTCTCGAATGCCGACGTTTCAAGATATATTTCTAAACCAATGATTTCACTTATCTTAATAGTAAAAGTTTCACTTACAAAATAAGTAACATGGATACGTAAACAGAATATCGCAATTCTGACAAAATGTAGGTAAGTGAGAAATGCAGATATACATAATATTTATAAAAAATTACTTGCGCTTCTTTCCAATTTTTTCTTATGTCCCGTTGGATTCAAATGTCAACGGGCAAGTTAAAGTTATATTAAGTTTTTTGATATTATAAATATTAACCGCGTTGTGTTAAGATATCACCCTTCAACCCAATCGATAACCTCCTGCGCTGTTTATAATATTGTTTGAATGGGCAAATACTAATATTGAGTACAAAAGTTAAACAAGGTTCGGTTATAAAAAACAGATGGCGCTTTTGTCAAATGTAATATGAGAAATCGTTTTCGTCGTCGTGATCGTTTAAGAACCATCTCAATTCATCATTAGAGCATGCTCAATGCACGGCACGATTCCAGCATACAATAAACAACCTGTTGTGAAAACAAGTTTTGTTCACTAATAAGATCCGAAGAAGTTGCACTGACATAATTATATCATCTGATGACGTAGTGAACAAAAACGGTGGGTTCTAACTTTAATAACAAATTCATTATCTAATCAGTCTTTTAAACATATAAACATTTCACGGGTATGAAGTTCCATTCTTTGATCTGTAGCCCTGACCCTGATGTTATATAAGCGCGATGGGTCAGCGGCGGATCTTAGTTTAGCAGCAAACATGAGTAGACTCAGGGAAGAGCAAGTGCAATTCTATAGGGATAATGGATACATCGTGCTAAAGAATCTGGTGAAGGGCAAAGAGTTGCAAAGGCTCACTGAGGAGTACGACGATTTGTTCCGGAGGAAAAATGAGGCAAAGACTGAGAGTTCTTGGGTTGGAAGTGAACAGAACCACAGAGTCAGTGACAGTCCATATACTGTACGTATTTGTTTTATTATAAAAAGTATGATACGTACATACGTTCTTTTTTCACAACATATAGTGTGCGTTTTTTTATATATTTATGTACTTTTTATTGAGATGGTTACTTTATAAGTTTGTTGATCTAAATATTAATTTAACAAAAACACCAAGTATTACGAAAGTAAAAAAAAAAAGTCAAAATATCTTAAGCATAAATTACAATCTCGATTTACGTCTGTGCGACTAAGTTTATGTAATTCTTAAACAAAAATAAAAACTCTCGGAGAGTTCTTTGAAATTAATATAAAATGAGATTGGTAGAGAATTCGTTTAGAAGAATCAAAGCTGATATCTAATGTGGTTTAGGATTCCAGGTGAAAGGCATCCACAATCTGCAGATGCACCACGCGGTGTTCGGGAGGTATTTGTACAACGAGGAATTGCTGGACGCCATGGAGGATCTAATGGGCACACCTAACATCGCCCTCCACCACACCAAGGCGCACTTCAAGCCTCCCGAGAAGGGAGCCGCTTATCCGATGCATCAGGTATGATGTCAAAAGTTCAGGACCAACCTCAACATTATATGGAACGAGACATAGATGTCTTCTATTTTCTATTTCAAGTTGAAGCAAGTTCAAACAAGTTCCAAATATTATCTTTATCTTATCCAATTTCACGTGTAAAATAACGCATGTAATTGGATAACACATTATTTTGGTTAAATTTTAATATGTTTACCTAGTTACTTAAGTCAATAAATTATTTTTTGCTTTTACTTTGAACATAGTACACAGACACAAAAGATGCTCTTAATCATCATCTCTGTCATGCTAAATCCAGGCTTCTAGTTAAACTCACACCAGTAATATAATACCTAATGTTTCGCAGTAATTTGTTTTCTGCAGGACTACCATTACTTTCCGTACGAAAAAGACACCATGACGGCCGCTGTCTTGTTTCTAGATGACGCCGATGTAGAAAACGGAACTTTGTTCGTGTGGCCTGGCTCTCACAAATTTGGACCTCTCGAGGACTTCGGACCGAAGGAAGGAAGCGACTTTCATTACGTCGATCAGGTGTGTAGTGAAAAAGTCATTCAATGTTTAGGAGCTTTAAGTTGAGTTCCCTTATATTTTATTATTATTGTGGGAATTATGTATGATTCTATTGTTTCAGAAAAAATATCCAATTGAGAAGGCGAAACCAGTAATCGTCAAAGCGGGGGATGTGGTAATCTTCAGCTATCTCATGTTGCACGGTAGCACCCCCAACCTGTCGAGTCGACCGAGACGAATGTTCCTGGCGCAAATGTATGACCCCCACGATAAGCCAAAAGGGGGGGAAAAGGTTCAACCGGGCAAGGGTTGGTTACTACGAGGATTTAATCTGAACAGGGACGCCACTATTGCCAGAAGAGCTGTAGATAGTTAGGTTACAGAGCAATACAAAATTAGGCTCGTATTAAATAAAGATATGAGTTATAAGTTTGTGCCCATTTCGTCACGTAAACCGTTAATAAACGTAACACAGAATATTCTAATCCTGCCTTCGCAAAGATTATTAATTTACACAGACAAGTCTTAAGATCGACTTGGCTTTTCATGCTATACGGTCACAATTCAGAAATAGTACTCGACGTTTTGCCATCAGGAGATGTCGATCGTACATAATCTTCATCTACGTATATATTTTCGTTTAATAAATTAGACGACGAAACGTCGGAGCTGCGACTAATCTTTGCGGCGCACCTCGTTATTGTCGCTGAAGCCTCAAACTCGTGTACAATCCGGGATTAACGTCCTGCGTAAATGAACTGAGAATTTCTTTTTCGAATCATCCCCGTTGTTTATCAATGAATAATGGACGTTTAAAAGCCTCCCGATGTGATGCATAAACGATGACCTTTTATAGCGTCTTCATCTTTGTCAAGAATGCTCAATAGATAATTAATCGAAGTGCGGAACTTAAAAACCTTCAATTACATTCTCGTCCCAAAGAAAACAATAGAAATGGAGATATTTGTCCCGTATTCAAAATACTAAATAAAAAAAAACTACTATTACTACTTACCATTTATAAATAGCGTTTACCTACTTATACATTAAGATAACGTCACAAATTAATTATAGATATAGAAATACCTACTTTCTACAACGCATACAAAACACACGGTAGCTATATACGAGTGTACCAGTGTAGAAATAACCTCAAAAGCTTTTCATTTAAAGTTTTAAATCACGCGAAAGTTTATCTTAATAAGCTATTAAGCGCGTATTAAGCGATATACATCCGATATCCGCTTTCAATAAGTAAGAGAAGCTTCTTAATCTTCATCATCCATAGGTATAATTAGCTTAATTAATGGATGTGTCCCCTGTAAGTGCCTTCGGTTTGGTTAAGGTGTGTGCGTGTGTATTATATATCAATGATTATTTTTGAGAAATACAGTTTGCATACGTACCTATCTTATATCAACATGTCATTGTAATGGGTGACTTTAATACATGTCTTCTAAAAAATGACTCTAGGGCTAACAAACTAAAATCCTTGATCAACGCTTGTAACCTGAATGTCATACCTTTCCAAGCTACACACTTCTTCCCTGGGTGCTCGCCATCTCTTCTTGACCTTGCTTTTGTTTCTTCTCTTTCTCATGTCTCCAAATTTGGTCAATCGGGAGCTGAAGCTTTTTCTTATCATAATCTTCTTTTCATTTCGTACCTTATCCGCCCTCCTAAAATAAAGCGGAAGACATTGCTGCAACGAAATTTTGCCAAAATGGATCTACAAGTGCTAGCCGATGATACACAAAATATTGATTGGTCTTCAGTTTTATACGCAAACACAGTTGATGTCAAAATCAGTGCTCCTAATTCAATTTTAACAAGACTTTTCGATAAACATGCTCCACTTAAATTGGTAAAAATCAAGCACACACCTGCGCCGTGGCTGACTAATGATCTAAAAGAACTTATGCGCAAGAAAACTGCTGCTAAGGCCAAGCTGAAGAAGAGCAACAGTGACTATCATCGTGAGCAATACAGAAATGTACGAAACCGATGCAACACGTTATGCAGAGACGCTCAAAGGCAATATATCCACAAGTCAGTAGAGGGTGGCAATACTGCTAAAACATGGAAATTCTTGAAGTCCTTAGGTTTCGGCAAAAAACAACTTCTTTCTCCTATCCCAAGTAGTATTAGCTTAACCCAATTAAATCAGCACTTTTCCTCTGCCACTTCAGGCCTAAATCTTTTAGATAAAACTAAAACATTAAACTTCTTATCTCATTTGACCAATACAAATCATCAAACATTTAATTTTACGCCGGTGACTGAGAATGTCGTCAAAGAAAGCATAATGTCCGTCTCCTCTAATGCCTTAGGGTGTGATGGAATTGGCCGTGCTATGATAATCCCTATCCTTGATATCATATGCCCTATCATTACTCACATCTTCAATTTTTCTCTAGAATCCGGCTCATTTCCCCACTTATGGAAGAAAGTTTATATATTGCCAATCCCAAAAAAACGCAACCCGCAAAGTTTTCCCGATTTCCGTCCTATATCCATTCTTCCTTTTCTATCTAAAATTCTTGAAAAATTGGTACATCAACAAGTCAACCAATTCCTTATTTCTAATTCATTGCTTGATCCTTACCAATCTGGCTTTCGTACCGGTCATAGCACGGTCAGTGCTCTAGTGAAGGTAACAGACGACATTCGTTGGGGATTTGATAACAGGACCTATACTATCTCAGCTATGCTTGATTTTAGCAATGCCTTCAATACAGTGGACCATGACATTCTTTTAGCTCTTCTCAACAACCTTAATATATCTCCCTCGGTCGCTAACTGGTTCAAAGACTACTTATCTGATCGCCAGCAATGCATACGAGTAGATGATAAGATATCTTCTTGGTGTACTGTTCCAGCTGGCGTTCCTCAGGGGGGGGGTGTTATCTCCTCTTCTTTTTTCCCTCTTCATCAAGACTATCACTGCAAACCTCTCCTCTTCATATCATGTTTATGCCGATGACCTCCAAATTTATGCTCAAACTGATATCAATAATTTAAATAACTCAATTGATACCATTAATTCTGATCTCGCGCTAATTATGCAATGGAGCAAGTCATATGGCCTGCATCTAAATCCAACAAAAACGCAAGTTCTTATATTTGGCACATCGAGTATGCTATCGCGGATTGATTGGACAAACTTGCAGTCAGTATGCGTTGATGGAGTTCCTCTCACATACAGTAGTTGTGCGAAAAACCTAGGTATCTATATAGACCAGACATTGTCTTGGACAAAACAGATTGAGGAAGTACGTAAGAAAGTGTTTGCTGCTGGTTCATCTCTTCGCAGACTTTCCAATTTCCTACCAGTACCAACGAAGCAAGTGCTAGCGCAGTCACTTCTTATATCAATCCTAGATTATGCAGATATATGTTACCTTGACATCACTGAAGAACAACTAAATAAATTGGAACGCATGCAAAATTATGCTATTCGTTTTATCTTTGGACTGAGAAAATATGATCATGTCTCTGAATACCGTAAAAAACTCAATTGGTTGACAATACGAAAGAGGCGTGATATGCACGTTCTCTGTCTACTCTACCGAATCCTTTTTGATCACACCACTCCTTCTTACCTTAAAAAACGATTTATCTTCCTAGGTGCTTCTCACGAACTTGATTTGAGATCAATTGATAATCTTCTTCTCTTTATGCCTCTACATACTAAGAAAACGTATTCTAACTCTTTTTCAGTTCATGCTGTTAGACTCTGGAATTCCCTACCTATTATGATTAGAAAAGCGCAGTCACTATCAAGCTTTAAATACAAGTTAAAAAACCTTTTCCTTCAGGATTAATTATATTTTTTAGTAATATATTTTAAAAATATATATATTTATATTTAACCTCTCTAAATTGTCTTCCCGGTGAAACATGCTGCTACGCTTAAATGGCAATGGTTGATACTCACTTATGTGCATAGTTTTACACAGTCATTTGATTGGGTAAATTATTTTAATTATTAAGTCAAACTTTAAAAACATACTTAATATTGTATAAACTTATTATAGCTGTATTGTATAAACTTATTATAGCTGTAGAGTGTTACCCTTATTATTATCATGTATTATTGTAAATCTCCATTTTCAAGGTTGCCTGGAAGAAATCGCTTTTTAGCGATAAGGCCGCCTTTTCTCGCTACTTTTTGTTAAATTTTAATTAAGTTTATTTTGTAACATTGTGGTGAAAATAAAGTATTTTTTGTTTTTTGTTTGTACCTAACTTACTTTTTTTCAATTCAATAGCTTCGTCCGTTTTAAAAAGTTACCTTTTTAAATGTATGGAGAAAAACATAAAGGTCTTTATACACTCTACAATAATTTACACGTTGAAATAGTGTAAATTATTGTAAAGTGACAACACATTAGCCGAAAGTCTGTTACATTTATTTGGAAATTAAGGGTGCTATTGAAAAAAGGAATGTCTAAGTAAGCATACACCCGAATCGGCCTCGTCCACAAAGCACTTGGAGACATCGCAAAAGCCTCTTCCACACTTTGATTGAAACAGGCGAAAAGAGCGGATACAGCGGATAAACGCGAGTAATCCGCGCGAGGTCGCACTGCCTCTAACCGGCTACAAGCGGATCCGATCGCTTCAATTTGTTTTACGACCGTTCGTACACCCAGATTGATCGCCGACTTTGAATACGGAGCTTGATTTTAGTTTCCCTCGCGAAAATCCCCCTCGGATGCGAGAAATCTATTTCCTCAAGTGCTCGAGTGATAGTTCTCAGGGATCAACGCAATCACTCAGTAGAAATTAATATCGAACATCGCACGGACATAGTTAAATCAAACAAAAGAACATAATTATATTTTCTTAAAGCCTTAATTCCGCCAATAACTACTTTCGGGGTCTTGCAGGACACAGTTATCGGTAAGTATGGTTATTTAGAATATAGAGAAGGTAATTTACCTACGTAAGGTTATGGTGCATCCCAGCTAGAGGCGGTATTCAGAATTGACAAATGTTCAAAAGACTTCTCATGAAAAACAATATAATATGTTGGTCTAAAATGAAAAATTAAACATCTTTATTTGACGTTTCGTGTACGAAGACCTGTGTTTTGATAAGATTTATGGAGATAGCATGGAAAATAAGACTGACATAATTATTTTGGATTATAATATTTATTTTTATCGTGCACACTCAGTTTTCATTCAGAGATTTATTAATTTAGATATTTTTTATTTCAAGATTAGGGTCTTCACAGGTGTCCCATAGGTTCTTAGTTCACTGTCAGTATTGCCTAGTAAACATCGAGGCATCATAAACGGTTTGGCCAAACAGAGCGGGGCTCACATAAATCCTGTTTATGGTCGCATTTGTCAGCGGATAATACGCGAA